GCACGGCCCTGGCGGGCTGGTGTGCGCCGCGCAGCTGCCCTTCCTCTCGGGCCCGGCTGTGCTGTCCCCCTTCGTGCTGGGCTCTCAGACCTACGGCGCACCCGCTTTCTACGCACCGCACCTCTGAGCCGGGCCGGATGCGAGGTGGGAAGAGAGGGGCGCTTCACCGCTCATCCTGCGGATCGGATCCAGGGCGATCCTGCACTCGGCCGTGCCAAGGAAGAGCTAATTTCTAAAGGACTTAAGGACCTCGCGGCCGGGCCGCCTGGAGCACTGTGCCAAGCCTCATTCAATAAACCCAGGAGGCTGCGCCAGGTCTGGAACATCTCACGCCGCTGCCCCGCGAGCTCCTTGGGTGGGGACCGCACTGGCTCCCAGGCTGGGTCAGGGTCGCACCGCCACACCCTCTGGAAGCGGCCTGTCAGGGGCGGGTCAGTCTCCACTGTCTGCCCTGAGTGGCTGCTCGCCCTGCGCTCCTTGGCCCAGGCTGCCCCCAGGAGCCTGTGGAGCCCGTGCAGTGCCAGAGTGGACTCTGAGGCGGTGCTCCCGGCGCGCGGACCCAGCCTCAGCCGTGCTCTGCAGTAGCACTGACGCTGGAGCAGTCGCTGTAGGGACCCCGGTAGGCGCCTGTTTCCAGAAGGGTTGTGCCCAGCGGGGTCGGGATGGTGGTGGCCGGTGCTGGCCAGAGGCTGTGCGGTGGCATGGGTCTCCAGGTGGGGCCCTCCATGTGCTATGGCAAGCTGGACACTGAGGACTTGTCCCTGGGCCACTTGCCTGGCACCACTCTGGGAAGGTCTGGGTTTAGGGGGTAGAGCGGGCTCACACTGGCACTCCACTGGCAGAGGGTGAGGGGCAGGTGGGGAGTGGCCACCCTACCCACAGCCACCCTGTGCCTTCTTTTGTGCTCTGCTCCCAAGGTATGGCCTGCAGTTACCCACTTAATAACAGCCCTGGGTTGGGCACAGGGCCAGGCTGAGGATGGCAGGATTGGGCCAATGTGGGCGGCAGTGCTGGTGAGGGCGGTGCTTGGCATAACGTGGGCCTCTGGAGTGCAAGTGGTTGACAGGGGGCCCAGGAGACCCCAAAGGTCTCAGAGGCTGGGACTCTCCTCAGATCCTCTGCAAGTTCAGGTTCAGCCTGTGCCAGGGCTGCCCAGCAGAAAGAGGTCAGAGAAGGGCCTGACCCCCAGCTGGGATCTGCCGGGCACCCCAGGGCTTCACAGCCCCAGAAGAGATGACGGAAGTGTGCCAGGAGCAGCCTGGGAGCCTGACACATAGTGGGCTCTTCCCCACGCCTGCTCCACTCGTGGGGGCAACACTGCAGCTCTACCAGGGTGGCAGGCCAGTGTCAGACTCAGACACAGCAGACAGTGCCCACACCCTGCCACCTCCTTCCCCACCAGGCCACTCTCACCGGCCTAGGAGGGTCATCCCTGGCCAGCTGTGCCTACTCACACCCTGGGCTGTAGGACAGCAGGGGGGGAATGACACCGGGAAAGCGGTGTCCCCAGCCAGGTACCCTAACCTGCCCTAAGCTGTGACCCCCCTTAGCCATGCTGGTCTGCATGGGCTGATCCTTGCTCTTCCTGGCTCTGCCCATCTCCTGGGTGCTGTTTATGTGCGGCGGGCCTGGCCAGGGACAGGACCCAGGTCTGCCTGGGTCTCCTGGGGCCTATGGTGACCAAGCCATGTCTGTCCTCCCAGCCCATATGGGGAAACAGGCCCAGGAGCCCAGGGGCCCTGCTCCTTCCTGCAGGCACTGGCCAGGCCCAGCTGTGGCTCCTCCCAGAGTGAGGGGTGCCGCTGCACCAGCTGCTTCCCAGGGACTCAGGTTAGGGGTCCTCCTCCCCTCAGTCTGCAGCCTGGTCTGGGCTCCCTGGGGCCCCTCTGGTTCAGGAGCCACGGCTGTGTCCCCCCAGAACATGGCACTCACTTCTTCCTGGAAGCAGCCCTGCTTGGACAGCTGCCAGGGTGGGGGTCATCAGCAAACGGGCCTGGCCTTTCAGGGGGAGCAGTGGGCCATGTGCAACTCACCTCCAGGCCCCTGCCAGCCTATAGCAGCAGGCTCCAGGCCCCCACTATGGGGTTAGGATCTGCCTGGCTGCAGGTGTGGAAAGGAGACTTCATTTTCTTGCCGATGGGAACCCCAGTCTTGAGATGCCCAGCCCCTGGCTGCACTGAGCTTGGGCTGGACCTTCGTCAAGAGCCTGAGTAGCAGTGGAGGGTCACTACATCCTCATCCAGACAGCACCTGGGGAGCAAGGGGATGCTTTCCTAGAGAGAACACAGCAGCAAGGCTGGGTAACATGGCCACACCCTGGCAGGGGGATGCCACGCAGGTTGCCCAGCATCCCACGATGGACTGTGCCCTCACTCGAGTCCCATCCTCCTTGACTGAGGCCCCGCCCATCCCCCACTGCCCATGGTGTCCCTAGGGACCCGACTGCCCACCATGCCCTCCCCCAGCTCTGCAGTGGTCCCAGTGTCACTGTGTGCACCCAGCCATCCTAGACACCACCTGGCCCTGCCCCAATCTCCAAGGGTCTCCTCCAGCTCAAGGCTGCCTTAGGGAGCAGCCTGGGAGTCAGGGTAGTGCGTGGGGGTGGACTCCCCCCATCCATGGGCCGAGTGAGGCTTCCCCAAAGAGCCCCACACCTCAGGTGGCATGTCCTTGGTGCCCACCCCCTTCTTCCTGGACAGCTGTATGCTCCTGGGAAGTAGGCTCCATCATAGCTGGATACCAACTGCTTCTTAGGACCTGTAACTAGCAGGTGTGTGTTGGGGCAAAGGGTTCCAGGAAGGTGACACGTGGGCAATGTCCCAGCAGGCAGATGTACATCCCTTCTCCTTCCTGTGGATCTGTGATGGCTGAAGTCCCAGCAGCTACCCTTGGATGTAAGACAGCCCAGAGGGTAGAGGATTTGATGCTGAGCCAGAAGCTGGAAAGCAGCAGCTCTGTATCACTGTGTGGCTCTCCACAGTGTGGACACCTTTGGACTGCTGACAGAAATGCAGCCACACTGAGTTTACAGCACACTGCTGGTTTTAGTTTTATATAGCATATCCTAATTCTAACCACCCATTCCCAAAGGGAATGAGGCTGTGGCCTGTGTCCTGTTTATCCCCGACTCCAAGCCCATGCACAACCCGCCAACCCCACCCACTACCCACAGTCCCTGCCCCTGTGAGACTGGGAGCCCTGGGGCTGAGGACAGAGCAGGGGGGAGCCAGAGTGCCTGTCCCAACCTCCCCGCCAGTGCCATGGAGACTTGGCAAACAGCACCAGGCCGGCTCTGAACTTCTGCAAGACCACTTCTCCCCTTGCCTTGCTCTACCTTGGCCTCCAAAGGGACAGGCTATTCATGGCCTCTGACCCAGAAATGCATCCCAGAACTGTGGGCAGTGGGGTCATGTGGCCATCAGTCAGCTCCCAGCCCGCCTGCCCGCCCAGCTGTGAGCAGGAGGCGGGCTCTGCTTCCAGTTCACAAAGCTGTGGTTTCACTAAGAGATGGTGCAGGGACGCTGAAATAAAACCCTGGGATTTTTGGCTCACATTTTATAGATCAATAATTTAAGTGTGAAAATGAACATATAAAAGTGTTAGAAAAAATATGGCAAGATTTTAAGATACACTATTCAAGTGGGGAGGGCCCTCCTAACCCTAATCCAAAACTCAGAAGCCACCAAAACTGGGAAATCCAATAACACAGGGAAATGTATGAGAAAAAAGTGTGGTTCAAATGAGCAGGTGGCCGGGCATGGTGGTGCACACCTGTAATCCCAGTGCTAGGGAGGCTGAGGCAGAATAATCATCTTGAGTTTGAGGCCAGCCTGAACTGTGTAGTGAGACCCTATCTTAAAAAAACAAAAGCAGATGAACTGAGGAATTTGCGTCTGCGTACCAGGGTGGCTCATCTTGCTGCATGGCCCACCCCAAGGGACCAGCAGTCCAACAGCAAGAACACAGACACAACTCACCAGAAAAAACAATGGGACTGGCTTGTTTTGTGGAACTGGGGATTTAACCCAGGGCCTTCACACTGAGCTACATACCCACCCCTTTCTTATTCTGAGACAAGGTCTTGCTAAATGTCCCAGGCTGGGCTTGAACTTGTGATCTTCCTGCCTCAGCTTCCCAGAATGCTTGGATTACAGATGTACAGCTCTATACCCAGCTATGAATTCTTAAATAAGCAGTGCTCCATTGCTCACTCCTAAGAGAACTGTTACTGAAAACTCTCTGACCTGCCTTTCTCTGTAGCTTAGTGACAATCAAACATCTGCAGCACCTGGGTTGGGCAAGGGCATGGGAAAGCCAGCTGCACCAGTTCCAGGGAAAGCTCCAGGGAGAGCAAACAGCTGACGTCCTGTGCAGGATGCAGCACCACGCTCAGCATCTGTGGGGAGAGGACACTGGGACCCAGACACTGGGGCAAGGAGCACAACTAGCCTTCCTGAGACTGGAGTTGAACAGACGCTGTGACGACGCCAGGAGTGTTGGTCAGGGAGGTGCTCGGGCCGGGGCAGCCTCGTGGCAGAGCACATGCTCGGCACGGGAAAGCCAGGGTTCGTGCCCTGTACCACAAAAACACTCATGCACACTCACACCCGGCTGGCTCTGGAAGAACAGCGAGCTGGCAGCATCACTGGGTGGCAGGGCGAGACCCAGGCCAGGGCCCCTGTGGCTGTTCCAGGAGCCTGGGCAGGGCTGGGCTGCACTGGGCTGAGCAGTGGCCTGGGGCACTGGTTCCAAACAAGCACTGCACTTCTCAGAACCCCAAAGGACACGTAACAAACTCCTAGGACATGGGGGTTGCCACAAGATAGCCTGAGCACCCCTCTACTGGCTTTGTGCTGTGAGGGGAAGTGGCACCGATACCCAGCCCATCGATAGGACTCAAAGAATCCGGGTCAAAGCACCCAAGGATGCCCCTGGGCCAGGCAGCCCTGCACCCAGGAGAAGAAACAGGAAGAGGCCTCAGAGACACTGCCCCGAGTGAGTCCCGTGCCAACCTGACCTGTGCTGAAGATGAAAGGGCGTCACACTCCCAGACCCGCAGGCTGTGTGGCCACGGGCAACAACCACAGGGACCAAGAGGAGATAGGAACTCTGGCTCACAAGGGGCATGGGAGCTCGGAGCTCTCAGCTGGCAGAGGGAAGGGCACAGGCCTGAGACAGCTGTGACAGGACCGTGCTGTTGTGCTGTGCTCAGATCTACACCACACAGACCAAAGCTGGCCCGTGGGTGCTGGGAGCAAAGGTGAGGTATGAACTTGAAAGCAGGTGAGTGTAGGGCCAGGGATTTAGCTCAGTGGTTCTGGCGCCGGCCTCACAAGCACAAGGTCCCGAGTTTGATCCCCGGTACCCAAAACAAAAACCAGGTTGGCGCCAATCTGAAGCAGGTAACTGCAAGCTGTTAACTAACACTCAGCAACCACTGAGAAAACAGCTTAGAAATGGTAAAGAAGACAGCAGGGCACAGAAGTGTCACAAGGGACTAGCAGACCCCAGCCCTGCCAGGCCCAGTGGTGAGTGCAGACCAGATGGGAAAGCTGGATGTGTCGACCAGGTGCAGGGAGCGCTGGATGTGGAGTGCAGGACAGGGGAGGGGTTGCACAGTCAGGGAGAGGCGTGGGCAAGAGACCCTCGAGTCCAGTGGCACAGAGACAGGACAGAGCCAGCGTGAACACAGCACAGACAGCGCCACCGCTCAGCAGGGAGAGCCAGGGAGAGAGGACAGGACACAGCCAGCAAGAGGCCCTCAGCACTGGGAAGGGCTCAAAGTCACATGCTCGTTCTCCTCCACAATGGAGTGAAATGAGAAGCCAACAGAGGAAACTAACCCTAACTCATGAGTACACGGAAACAAAACAACGCTCTCCTGATTAATCTAACGGGCACAAAATACTGGAAAATACTTAGGGTTAAAAATACAACGAACCAGGGCTAGGGATTTAGCTCAAGGTTCCACTGCCTGCCTCACAAGCACAAGGTCCCAAATTTGATCCCTGGTACCAAACAACAACAACAACAATAATAACAACAAACCAACCAGCCCGGCATGTGGCACATGCCTGTAATCCCAACACTGGGGAGGCTGAGGCAGGAGGATTGCTGTGAGTTCAAGGCCAGCCTGGGTTACAAAGTTAGACCTTATCTGTAACGAAACAAAATACAAAACACAGAACAAATAAAACCCTGACAACAAATTTAAGGGATAAATGATGCTTAGATGAAAATGTACAGTTGTGAACACTTATTAAAAAATAAAGACTTCCCCTAAAATGTACCAATAAACTCAATTAAAACTGAAGAAAAAAAAAAGAAAAAAGATTTCCAATTAATAAGCTAGTCTTCTACTTTAAGAAAAAATAGAGAAAACTAGACCCAAAATAACCCAAAGGAAACAATGAATAATGGAAATCAATGAAATAAAGGATAGAAAAATAATATGGAACAATCAAAACCGAAAGTTGTTTCTTCGAATATATCAACAAAATTATAAACCTTTAGACGACCAAGAGGAAAGGGGATGGACAGATGGGTGGAGGAGGGAGAGAGGGAGAGAGAGCCCTGAAATAACTAACATCAGAGAGTCCTGTGGACACCTATAGTCCAACAAAGTACGACGACGAAGAAAACACGGATGAACTTCTACAAAGAGACAACTACCAACACGTGCCAGGGGCAGAGGCTGCACAGCCTGCGGCCTGCCATCACAGACAGGCAAGCAGATACTGAGCTAGCAGCAGGAGGGCCAGCCAGGCTGGTGGCGCCCCGAGCTCGACCAACCCGAGCTCTGCCATCCCCAGACACAGGAGCGTTTCCACGCTCACCGTGTGGCCCACAGGGTCCTGGTACCAAAGCCAGACGCAGGATCCCACACAAAAACTCCACTGTGGCCCTTGATGTGAGGCAGGAACATCCAACAGCCAGGAGGGTGACGTTCTCAGGAGCAAGTTTTCAAAAATAAATGGAAGATGCATGCACTGAGGAGCAGAACACTATTAAGGACGCCTCAGGTCATGGGGAGACAGCAGCAGTTCATGTGTCAGAGACTTCGGGTTTGGATGGCATCACCTCACGTCCGTCTCTGCACCACGCCAGCCCTATCAAATGCCAACTTTTTGTTTTGTTTGTTTAGGACAAAAACTGACTAACTGACCCAAAATTCATTTGGAGGTGCAAAGAACCCAGAAGAGCCAAAACCATCCTGAAATAATACAGCTGAAGATTCATATTCGCCAAATCCAAAATTTAGCAGGCAGCTCCAATAACCCAAGTACTGACACAGGGTGTGCAGGTCAAAAGACCAGAAATTGAGCCCAGAAGACCCGAGTCCACACGCAGGGCCACCTGGTTACCAGAGGGTGCTCAGAGGGTCGTGGGGGAAGGGCGGGCCTTCGACAAGTGGTGCTATGACGACCGGACAGCAACACGCCCAAGAGGCCCCGGACCCCACTCACACACAGAAAAGGAACGAAAGCTACCACACTGCAGGAGAAAATGGCAGGAACTCTCTGTGACCCCAGTGCTGCAGTGGTTTCTCAGACACCACACCAAAAACACAAGCAACGAAAGAAAAAAACAGACAAACCAGATTCCATAAAAAATGACTGCATTTGTGTCTCAAGGGTACAATCAAGAAGGGGAAAAGGCAGACTGGGAAAGAACACGAGCAAATCACTTAGGAGGCCAGTACTCAAACGTCTACAAACTCTCAACACAGAACAAACAGCGCTGTCAAAGTTAGAAGATCTGAACAGATGTTTCTCCCAAGAAGATGGACAAATGGCCCATAAGCACATGAAAAGATGTCCAACACTACTCATCAGAAAAATCATGTCAAAATAACTACTCAGGAGGCTGAGGCAGGAGGACTGCAAGTTCAAGCCCAGTGTGGGCAACAGTGACTTAGCAAGACTTTGTCTCAAAGTAAAAAAAATTTTAAGTTTATTTATTTTTGGTACCGGGGATTAGAACTCAGGACCTTGGGCTTGTGAGGCAAGTGTGATGCCACTGAGCTACATCCCCGGCCCAAAAGGCTGGTTTCAGTTCAGGGCCTTGTATTTGATCTGCAGTACAGGGAAAAAGAAAAAAAAAAAAAGTAACGTTCCATACCCACACCCACTACGACTGCTAACACTGAGAAGGGGGTGATGAGTGGGCAGGGACGCGAAGGCCGTGGGACACTGCTGGCTGGAGGGCACAGGGGTGCAGCTGCCTAGGGAGACAGGGAGGCCACCTGCTGAAGAGTGGAGGTTGCTGTGAGGCGGCACCTGTGTCCGGAGATGCGCGTCCACACCATGACCGCACATGGTGCTCAGCACTGCTGTGGCCCTTGACCGGAAGGCAGCATGCGGTGCAGGAGACACCAGGACATCACCGGGCAGTGATGTGTGTGCGGCGTGGAAGAGGGGCCGGGGAGCCAGAGCCAACAGGCCGCACGTTCGGAGCACCCGAACAGGCCCACCCAGAAGGTGCCGCGGGCCCGGGAGGTGGGAGGAGTCCTCTCGGGACCAGACGCAGCGCTGAGGGCCTGAGTGCCCTGAGTGCCACGCTCCGACTGGGCTGCTGCGGGGCGGCTGTTACACAGCAGGTGCAGCTCCCCAGCATCCCTCCTGGGCAGACGGCAGGCCGCAGAGCTTGCCACTGGCTCTCAGGCTGCTGCCTTGCCCAAGGTCCTGGGCACTGCTGAACACAAGCAAGTCTGGTTCCTGCCCAGGCACGGCTCAGATCCTGCCCTTGGGTGCACAGAGGAACGCGAGCAGGCCGGGCACTAGTGTAGCGCGTAGTTGAACTGGTTTGCGAACTTCTCATGCTTCTTCTTGTCTATCTGGTTCATGGCAGCAGCCACCCTCTGCACTGCCGCCCTGCCGGAGAGCGAAGCAAGGCTGGTCAGGGGCTTGGGCCAGGCTCAGCGCCACCCTGCCAGGGAAGCAGGCCTTGGCCATGTCTCCCCAGCCCTGTGCAGCAGCCAGGACAGGGAGGCCTGGGGTCTGGGCCAGCCCGGGGAAGTCGGGCCTTTCTGTAGAGACTCCAGGTGCTGTGAGGCGCCAGCTCTTGGCCTTGCTCCTGCACAGGCTTTCTGTCCCCCAGAGAGCACAGGGAGGACATGGGACACAGACCCAGCAGCCATTACAGCTCCCAGTGAAGGTGCCCAGGATGCCGGGCACCTGGGGCAGATCCCTGGGAGTTGGCTCGCTGCAGAGCTGCCCAGCCCTGGCCACACTCACAGGGCCCATTGCCTCTGCCGGACCTTGACAAGGGTACTGTCCCACAGGCCCCCAGGGCTGGGCCACGGCAACGCCACAGGGCAAGAGGTGGCCCCCCAGCACTGCCAGGCCCCTCAGAGCCTTAGCATTCACCTTGGCAGGCGGCAGCAGCCTCACAGGCTCTAAGACAGCAAAACCACACAGGGCATGTGGTTGGGAAGGGAAGGCGAGGCCTGAGAGCAGCAGGTACGCGGGCCCAGGCTGGGCACAGACACTGTGCCCACACCACAGTGGCAGTGGGGACGTGTGCAGCGGCAGCCCTCCCGGAGGTCACCAGAGACAGTGTGGCACTTACTAGGGGTGGCAGGCAGGATGCGGAGGACGGGCATGCTCAGCCCACTTGCCTGCCTTGGCCACCAGGAGGGGAGAACAGAGACGGAGTCCTCAGGAGATGCACAGGGTGTCCAGTGCACACCCTGCCCCACCCCGGGGGATCTGGGGATCCCTGGGGAGACACCTGGAGCCCAGGGACATGGGAGGGGCACAGTGCAGCCCTTACTTGGCGAAGACCTTCTTCCCCAGGCGGGCCCGCGAGGTGCTGGCCTGCGCCCGCAGGTCTGTGAGCTTTGGGTACTTCCTCCTCTTCCCCTTGCCCTTCCCACCGTACCGGGCCGAACCCAGGTCTGTCCCTGTGGCCGCTTCCACGTCCTTCATGAACTCTGGGTCCTGCCAGTCTAAACAAAAGCCAGGATTTTAGAAAACACCAGCACCAGCCTGAGCCCTCCGCCCTGCGTGGTGCTGTGTGGCCCTTGTCCCGCCTGAGAGGGTCTGTGTGCGAGGGAGGAGGGACGCTGTTCCCATGTCCCGCAGGGCTCCCGAGGCCTCCGCACCCTGCACAGGCAAGCAAGGAGGCAGGCGGGGCTCAGGGCTACTCCGGAGCTGACGTCCTTGGGTCTGGGCAGCCGCACCCTCTGCTCTCTTGCTGCCCTGCTTCCCCAGGTCAGTCGTGTGACCAGAGTGACCCAACATGCTCAGCCTGGGACAAGCCTGGCTCGCCGACAGGGCCAGCACGCATGCTCCAGTGGTGTCCACAGGACCTTGGTGCTGGCAGGGCTGGGGAGCAGCAGGGGCAGGGCGCCCGCTAGGCCAGGCCACGGGGCACATCTGTGGAGGGAGAAACCTCGCCTGGACAGACGGATGGCACAGCCTCCTCCAGCAGATTTTTTGAAGTGAGGGAACTCGGGCTGCAGGACTTAGATACAGGGACGATTAATCCAAGATTAAGGAAAACTGTCTAAACAGTTTATCTCTCAGTAATAAGAAGGCGTCACAGTTTAGGAACCTGGTGAATGGAGCAATTGTTTAAACACAACGAAAAAATGCCGGCCTCCAGTGGAGATGGAATGGGCACCTCAGGAAAATGAAGGAGCAATTTAAAAGCCTTTGAGGAAAATCAATAGACGCCGGCCCGCACGGCCTTCCTGGGCGCTGACGGGCCCTGGAGCGCCGCGTGCATTGTCACCGAGGTTAGCGCCAGGGAAAAGAAAATTGCCCCGCGTGTGAGGGAGGCGGGATCAATACTGCAGTTAGTAAAGAGACGCTATTTCACATCTGACTGGCCAGCGGCGCGGGCCGCAGCCTGATACCTGTTTGTTAACAAGCCACCGAGGGCTGGAAAACCAGATACTCTTCAGGGCTGACACAAAAATAGGCACTTAATTTGCTCCCGAGTGTGAGCCACCAGGGAAGGGCTCGGCCTGGAGATTAACAGGTCAGCCCTCCCGCCTACCAGCCCAGCACCATCCCGGGCACCTAAAATGCAAGTGTGATGAGCCAGGGAGGGGCCGCAGAAGGTATCCTCCCCCAGGCCAGCACAGCCAGACCCAGCCGGCCTGGCCAGGCCTGCTCAGGAACCACCTGGAGGCACAGACGGGCCTGGCTGGGGCCTGGGGGCGGCTCACCACTGGCCCTGCTGTTCAGGGCCCAGCAGAGAATCCCCTGCCACACCTGCTACCTGGGGCTGCTGGAGTGGGCCTGTCCACGTCTACCCGAGCTTCCTGTACGCCCCACCTGTACCCACCCCTGACCCACCTGGGCGTTTGGGCTGCTGCAGCCGCTGCTGTTGCTCTCGGGCCCTGTCCTCTGGGTCGAGGGGCTGTCCCATGTCGTCTCTGGGGACAATCTTCCCATGGAAAGGGCACTGCAGAACGAGCACAGAGGGGCTGACTACTGAGACACGGCTCCTTCCAAGGGCGTCCCGGGAGCTACAGCGCTGTCATCCTTCTCTCCATCTGGGAGCAGGGGCAGCAGTGCCATCAAGGCCCACTGGCCCACACCCGTAAACTGAACTCTGAGAGGCTGAGGCAGGAAGGTGAAAAGTCTGAGCCTATTCTGGGCAGTTTAAGAGCTTGGCGAGACTGTCTCAGAACAGAAAAGGGCTGGGAGGGAAATCAGTGGAGGGAAGGCCCCAGGTTCAAGAAAATGAATGTAAAAGTACAAATGAAGGGTTCTGGGCCTCCAGTCCATCTTTCTGCAGCCATTTCCCTCACCCTGCTGCCTCCTGCCTAGGGAGTCCCCATGGGCACCTTGGCCTCCCGGTTCTCAAGGACCCAGCCCTTTATGGCACCCTTGGCACTGCAGGACGCCCAAGTGGGGCCAGGCAGGAGGCCCCGACATGACTATAATGGCGGAGGCTGAGCAGTTTCTGACCACTGGGGACAGGCCTGTGCCACTGGGGCTTCTCATGCCACGGTGCCTGCTCCAGGCAGTCATCTGCTCTGGCCGGGCCTCGCTCACAGTCTCACCTTCAGCCGGTCCTGGCGCTCACAGAGCCGGCCATCGGGCCTCGGGGCCCGACAGCGGTGCTGCACGGGCTCGAACTTCCCTGCAAAGGTGATGTGGCGGCTCCGGAGCAGCGCACAGACGTCCGCACTGTCCACCTCCCCCTCCACCTCGCTGGGCTTCCAGAAGCGGTGCTCGGAGTCCGCCCTGCAGAGCAAGTCTGGTAGGGTGCCTGACAGGGCCTAGAGCAAGGTGGCTGCCCCTCACCTGCAGACAGGTGAGGAGTACAGCCTCCCAAACAGGGCCACATGAAGCCGCTACAAGACCAGAGCCCTTCCCCACCGTGCCTCCACTGGCCAAGGGCCCAGGATGAGTCCTGCCAGCATGGCCACCATCTACCTCCGAAGGGCAGACAGCGGCTAGGGACAGTCAAGCCCATCGGGCCCTCACCCTCGACCCGCTGTGCCCCTCCGTGCGGAGGGATCTGGATGCACATGACCAGCTGCTGGGGACACCCAGGGACTGAGGCCGGCCCCAGCATGGGTCCCTGAGGCACTGTGGCCACTCTTAGACAACACCATTACCCAGCCACCGTGGGCACAATGAAGTTCAGAAGCGGCAGCTGCTTCCCAGGGAGCACAGGCCACAAGCAGCACCGGGCAGGCGGCAGGGGTACATGGGAGAGTGTGGGCCCCCGTGGTAGGGCCTCAGCACTGCATGGGCCCAATGTCCGATGGCACCAGGCCTCAGGGAAAGCTGTGGCACAGGGTTCAGGCACCCACCTCCAGGTCCATGAGCCCTGGGAGAGCTGGGGCAGTGGCCACGCTTGCCCAGCACTCCCTCCCGGGCTGGCAGTCACTGGTGGCTCTGACCATTTGCCAGCATGTGCACGTGGTGGTCGTGTGTGGGCCAGACATTTGGGCTCCCCACCTGCCTTGTGCTTGTTCATCCCCAGAGGAGCAGGCATATGACAACAAGCAGGGATGGGCCTCCTATGAGGCAAAGCTGCAAGTGGACCCACTGTCCCAGCAGAACCAGAGAAGGCCACGTGGTGAGATCATGGGACTCATGGGCATCTCCAGTCTGCCCTGGACACTCTAAGCAGAATGCCTGGGAGCCCTCGAGATACCGGGACCCTGGCCAGGAAGACCGTTGCCTGGTTCCCTCATCTGTCAACTACCCAATGGCGCAGTCACTTTGGGTCTCAGCTGCCCGCATTGCCTTTGGCCACGGTACAAGTCAGTGGTGGCAAACCTATGGCACCCGCGCCACAGCAGGCTGTCCTGAAAAGTCCTGCCACTAAAAGCTATAAAAGGCTCGCCACCAGTGGGACAGGTGGACACAGCCGGGCCTGTCAGGCCCCTGCTCCTGAAATGAGCTGCCCACCATCAAAGCCTAGCCACGAGCTTGGGCCAGGGCCGCTGCTCGCGTGGCAGGGAGCCTCCTGGAGGAAAGTGGGAGGCTGTACTCCACGCAGCAGCTATCTGGCTCCCACTGCAGGGACTGTGCCAGGTCAGAACCCCAAGTCTCCCATGTGCCGGGCAAGGGCCAACCTGCCCCAAAGGGGCAACAAAGGGCTCAGGAAGCCCAGGCACCTGGCTGGGCCTGCCGTGCCGCAGAACAGTGCATCCCTTACTCACTTGAAGATCTTCCCGACTGTCTGCTGCTCCTCGCCCCAATAGCACAGGTCCACACCAAAAGGCACGACAGGTGCCCGGGCCTGCTCTTCTGCTAGCTTCTGGGCCTCCTCAGGTGCCAGTGGGGCCCTGGGGCAGGACAGAACATGATGACCGCCCATGGAGGGGAGGGCTGCAGCCACCACCCCTCCTACCCTGCCATGCAGCCAGAGGCTGGGGAGCAGGAAGGAGTCGTGGCCACACCTTCCCTGGCCAGACACAGCCTCTGGCCTCAGCCCATGGCCACTCAGGTGCTGCCTGACCTCTGCTCTCCAACCCCAGAGCTCAGCCCAGCCTGGGTCCCTTCAGAGGGTGAGTGGTGGCTCCTGCACCCTGGCTGATACATGTGTCCAGGCACATGCCCAGCAATCATCCAGAAAGATGTCAACTAGCATCACCCAGCGAGGGCTGCGCCTCAACCCCAGGCTGCCCTGCGACCAGCCTCGAGGATACCCGGAGTCACCTGGTAGGAGAGGGTGGGGCTCGGGGCAGGCGGTCTTGCAGCCGACACAACTGGGCAGCAGCAGAGGTGGGGTCCGACTCCTCCTCCTCCCTCCGGATCCTCCTCCTGGCCTGAGCACCCCATGCAGCTGCATCTTTCTCCAGGGTCTGCAGTGAGGACTTTGGCTCCAGCCCTGAAACAGACATGCGTCTACCCCTGAATTCCATGCGAACCTGGGACTGCACTCTGAGCCGTGGCCCCGGGAATGCTCCGCACAGGCATGTGGGTCACCCTCTGAGAGTCACAAGGCAGCCCCATCGCTGCCACCTCTTGGGCAAGGGCCATCCTCAGTGGGTGCCAGAATGCAGGACAGGGACACAGGTGGGCGCCCACCCCAGCCTGCACAGCATGGCAATCAGCAGGTTGGCCCCAACCCACAGGTGCCCTCTGCGAGGATCCAGGGAGAGGCCACCCATGGTGTAGATGCAGACCACCCAGGAGCACAAAGGACACCCTTGCTGAGCCTGGAGTCAGGAGGGAAGAGGCAGTACTTCCAGCTCTGTTCCTAGCTGTCTGCTGCCCTGAGAGCTCCATCCTAGGCCCAGCCCAGGGCGTTCCTGCCTTAGCTGCAGCCTCTGAATGGCACCAGGGGCAGCTGGAGCTGGCTGGGCCTGATCCTGGAGTCAACCTCCCTGCAGCCGCTGGGCAGATGCACAGGTCCAGCCAGAGGGGTGCCACTGTAGATACCCACAGTGCCGCAGCTCTCACGCTTCACCAACCTCCCCGTGGAGTGTGGCAGAGGATGCTGATTTCATGTCCACAAAGAGACAAGGACAGACACTACCCCGCTTGGCCGTGCCCAGCCCTGTGCCCTGCCAGGGTTTAGGCGGGACCTGGTCTAGCTCTCAGGCTGCCATCTGTAGGGCCTACCCTAATCCTCGCCGGCTCCTCTCAGGTGAGCACAGGAGGTGTCAGCAGAGTCTGGGTTAGGACTTGTGCCGGGGGCAGGCAGCCTGGACCAAGCCCGTCCTCCCCAGTTCCCGACGGCCAGCCGAGGGTACAGCATGGACTAGCAGGGAAGCTGAAGACTCCAAGAGTATGAAAAGAAAAAAGACATTTGTGGGTTGGAGATTGAGCTCAGTGGTTCTGCCACCTGCCTTACAAGTGCAAAGTCTGAGTTTGATCCCCGTTGAGGAGGGGGAAAAAAAAAAAAAGACGTATGAGCAAAGTGTACCAGGCCAGGCAAACATGAGTACACTCCACATTCACAAGAGCGGAAAATGCACACAGAGTAGAAGCGTGGCGGCAGAGGCTTGAGGGAGACATCCTCCACTGACGACAAAAGCAGAAAAAAGGCTGAGGAAATTACGTGCTGGACAGCAGAAGGACCACCTGTTGGCAGAGGACAACAGCAGCTACGTGAGCAGCGTGTCACCTGCAGTTTGGAGGTGTGACAGGTGGACCCACAAGGACCAATGTTCTTGAGTTCAGAATCCTGGAGGAGGGAAAAGCAGCTGGAGACAAATTCTGAAACCTGAGGGTCCACTGGGTGCCAGCAGAGACAGAGCTGACTCCTGGCAACACTGCTGGAAGCTGTGGGTTCAGACACTCGAGGGGCCCAGTCAGTGTCTTGTGTAGGGAAAGCAAAGGCCGAGGAAGGGTAAAACTAAGCATGAGGAGGCAGGGCCTTGGGGGAATTGTGTGCTCCACTCACATGCGGCCTTGGATTCAATCTGCAGCACTGCAGAGGCTTTTCTAGCAAGTAAAAAGTGAAGAGGAACACCAAACAGTAACAGCAGTGACACCAAATCAAGGAGAAAGTATGGTTGGCAGAGGCAGCAGCAACCGAGGAAAGGCCAGAGGTCCCACACTCCTCACTGCATAACTGAGAGATTGGGGATGCAGGGATGACCAGTTACCACATAACCCAGAGCCAGAGACAGCAGAGGGACATCATGTACCAGAAGTCTAGATTTTAAATTACAAGAAGCCTGGAATCCAAGTGAAGGGGCACGTGAAGGCTGGTAACGGGGACAGATCTGTGTCTCAAAGCACAAGTGCCACCAGCCAAGGTGCTGATGGATTCTATTCAACCCTCACGGGGGTGGTGGGGGTGCTGCTGCTGCTGCTCTGGGTGGGGCACCAATCCCTGGGGCAGGGGTGCTGCAGCAGGTGTCCACCTGACAGGATGCCCTGGCGCTCCCATCCCAGTGAGTAAAGCCACTTGGCTTACACTGCGGGAGGCTGCTTCTGAGCTGAGGAATAGGACAGGGATCTCATGTGGCCTGCAAAGCCAAAAATACTTTCTGTCTGGCACTTGTGGACAACACATGCTGACCCCTCTCAGAGCGGAGAGCATGGCTGAGGCCATGCCACACAAAAGGTTAACAGGTTGCTGTCAGCCCCTTAAAGCCACCTGGAGCTCCAAGGTTGTGGGCCAGGTTCACTGTGCAGATGGCAGCGACCCCTACTCGGCGCTGTCGTCAAGCAATGCCCAGGTCGACCCAGAGAAACTTGGAAATGTCAGCGCAGAAGCTGGCAGGGCACCAGCTGCTGGCCACACACACACACACACACACACGCACACGCACACACATGTGCACACACAGCTGGGGAGACAAGACTGATAAGTGAACAATGTGACATTTAGATAGATACAATCGCAGCCAGAGATCAATATGAGAATTCCTGTGAGTTACAAGAATGAAATATATTTTTCATTGATTTGTTGTTTTAAACCATTAAGAAGATGGGTAAGCGTGTTAGAGCAGGGTAAACACTCAGGGCACCCAACACACTCCCATTTTCACACTGTCGTGGAAAATCAATCTTGCTGACAGACTTTCAAAGTAAGCCCCAAAAGCAGAGAGCCCTCTGCAGGCCCCAGGGCTGCATCCCGGAAGGATGAGGACAACCCAACCCCCCAGCAGGCCTGCAGCTCCTGGCCCGCACAGTACTTCCTCTCCCATGGACTCCTGTGGCTGCTTTTAGAAAGAATCATAAAAACATCCAAATCCCCCTTTTTGTTTAAATTGACCAAGTGGCACCTATTTGCCTGAAGCACTAAAGCAGACAGTGCGGGAGATAAATCGATAGCAGGAAATGGAGAGGCCGGGGCTCGACAAAGTTAGGCTGCCGAGCCTGACATTATTGATTCTACCTCGTTCAGCTGGCCTTGTAATTAAAATGTAAATTTGAGAAAGAGATTATGTCCTGACAGAAATGGTAGGATTAAGGGGAAGATAAAAGCCCCTCCGTGAAAATTCAGAGAAAGAAATGAGAAAGAAAAAGAGCCCGATTTCCTCAGCTGTGTGGATTTAGACTAAATCTAACTACTTCAGATTCACCTACGTTTAATTGAAAACACAGCGATAGAATATAAACTAGTATTATGAACTGAGCTCACTCCGGCAGCTTCTGTGGGGCCCCAAGGCCTCCAGAGCTCCAGAGTGGAGCATTCACTCAGCCCTCCAAGTCTGGAGTCGTCCCACGGCTCCTCCTTTGAGTACTCGCCCTTTGGCCCTGGGCTGTGATGACAGCCACACCAGAGCATGTGCTCTGCGGCCTGCTGGAGACCAGGAGAGGACAGGGCTTGCCCCAGGCCACAGAGCCAGGGCTGCACAAGGTCAAAGGCAGACGTGACAGCCTTTTCCAGAGAAGCGAGTCAGCAGAACGACATGGCCAGGGTATCTGCCCCTCCCTCCACAGGGCAGGGTGGTGGGATCTAGGCCCTGTCACAGGCTCCAGAGAAAAGGATGGTCACGAGACAGGCTAGGGAGGGCAGACACCAGAGCCTAAAGGATGGGGTGGCCAACAGCCCCCTACAGACCTCGGGGTTCTAGATCAGGGCCATCTGGCACAGAGGATCTAGTCACTGTGTCCGGAGCCCAGGGCACTGGGAATCTTGCAGCCAGGACAACCCTGCAGCTCGCAGCCCCAAGCAGGAGTGCAGGGCCCTAGGGGTCAGCTTTGGAGGACTCAACTGGTTGGCTGGCAGGTGCAACCCCAAGGTACCTGGCATGGGGACGAAGGACTGGTCATGTCCCTACTGCTGCAGCTGGGGGGTCTGTTTGTGTACCATTTCCTGAACACAAAGTTGGAGAAAGTGTGAGTGCCACGAACAGGGGCTGTGGATGCTCTTTTTGGATCCCTGGCTGCCTCCTGGCCCCAGGCAGGAGGGATATTCATGCTGTAGTAGAAGGGAGCCGCTACCCTCAGAACAGCCCTCCTGTCCACCACTCACTTCCTGGGCCTGCTGTGTGCGGCTGGAGCAGGATACGGTTTGAGGAGTGCAGCTCCCACCATCCCAGCCCTGTTGGATCCCAACTTCTGCCCAAAGGGTCTGGAAGCATCTGGACAGAGGCCTCGGACCAGGAAATCCTGGTGTGACCACAGCCAAGGGCACTGCTGGCTGCCAGGCTCCCTTGGAGACCCTGGGAGGTCCAGGCTGGACCAGGGAATGGGGTGGATGTCAGGGAAGACTGGACCCCAGGTGAGGGGCACAGGTCCCTGCCAAGAGGGGAAAAGCGGGCACATCCTGGTAGGGAGGTCACCGCGCTCAGCAGTGTGCCCTGACTTCCAGGCGCCCAGGCTCAGTGGCCAGCCCTTGGTGAGGCTGTGGCCACTGGGTTCTCAGGCCAGGTGGAAAGGGAGCAAGACCCTTGGATGAGACTGGTGTTTGAGCTGGGGGAATTCGGGTCAGGGAGGCCTGAAGCCTGTGGAGCCCTGTGAGGGCACAAACTGGCCGGTGCAGGAGAGTGGGTTGAGCAGGCGGAGAGGCAGGAGGGGAAGGTAGCGCTGTGGGCCGGAGCAACCCTGTCTCCCTGGGCACTCTGGGCCAGGCAAGGTGGGGCTAGCCCATGTGGCCAGGCTCTTTCCGGGCTCGAGCGTTCGGGGAGATGGGGCTGCTAGCGGCCTGGCTGTGCTAATTTGGCATGACACCCCTAATGGATCATGTCTTTACACTCCAGCTGTCTCATCATCTAAATTTTTCTAACAAATTTACATTTCATCTCAGACTCCAGTTCCAACCAAGTTGTCTACTTTGTGACAAAAGGGGAGGCTGTTTTGTTTCTCCCAGGCAAAAGCACAAGCCACCTGTGAGTGGCCCTCCTCAGCCACTCCTCTCCCTGGGGCATAGGGTGCGGCTTTCAGGTTCACCTGCAAGAGTAGGAGCCCCTCTGGTAGCAGTGGCAGGTCAGTGCCCCACAGCTCACTCCTGCTGCCCCAGCAGCGGGCCTGGGAGAAGGCTGGGAATGGGGGCAACCCTGGGCCCAACACCCCCCCAATCGCCCTGTGGGCCCCTCACCAAGTCCCTGGCCTGGGGGGGCTGTGTCCTCAGGCAATGTAAGCATAGTCACAACACCCTGGGCAGGAGCCAGCAGGTTCTACCTCAAGGCCATCCTGTGGCAGCACCAAGTGGGCCCTCCTCCCAGGGAGCCCTATCTCTGCCCGCCTGCAGCTCACCGTACTCTGCCCGGAGGTGGTCAGGGATGTGGGGCTCGTAGTCCTCCTTCTCCGGGACTTCCACAAAGTCCTCATCGTCCTCATCCTCCCCGTGCCTCGGCGCTCCTGTCTGTGGAGACACTGCAAGTCACCCCCAAGTCCCGACACGAGGCCCCACATGTAGGACAGCCACCCTGTGCAGCCTGCCCTGTGGTTCAGGCTCCAGGCCTGCGCCAGTCTCCTGAGACCCCCAGTGGCAGTCAGCCTGGGGAGCCCACCCGGTAAGAGGCCTGGAGACCTCAGGAGAAGCTGGCCTCCCCTGAGAAAGCTCTCTGGTGCCCACTGCCCTCTTCCCCACTGCCCTCTTCCTGCCACCTCAGTGGGTGGCATTCAGGCAAAAGGCCTGGTCTGCCCAGTGCTGCTGCAGGCCGTGCCGTGGCTACACCGGAGCACATACACTCGCCGCGGCCACAGCAGACGGGGTCAGTGCCTGGCCCTCTGTCATTCTCTTCCTTCCAGAGCAGCACCCTCAAGAACCAGCTTTCCCGAGACCACAAGGGGGCCAGGTTCAGACCAGGGGCAGCCAAGGCCCACACCCCAGGGGCTGTGATGCCCACAGCCAGACCATAGCCACAGGGCCTTGGTAAAGGAGGCATCCAGAAAGTCTCTGTTGCATGAGTGCCAACAAGGGGGAACTCCAGTGGTGTCATCACAGGAAACTGGAAAAAACTTTGGCATCTGACCCCTCAAAGGCACTCCATCTTGGTGCTGCCTCCTGAAGGGTACAGGAGACTGAGGAGGGGCTGCTGCCCTCTACCCCTCAGCTACCAGAAGCCAAGCCTAAGTGACAGCTGGCTGAGAACAGGGGCCTGAAGAGGCCACTGCTCACCTGGGGAAGAGCCAGGCCCCGCAGATGCATGCACGGCCACAGAGCCCAGGCTAGGGGGCCGTGTCCAGCCGAGCCACAGGCCAGGTACTCCAGCCGGAGGCTGCCGCCTGCCCAGGAGCATAATCAGATGCAAATGCACTTTGTTTAGGTGCGGCCCACGGCTGTGCATCTGGGAAGCACAGGAGACATTAATCATCGGAAACTGTAATTTTTGTTATCAGTCTAACACTGATCAAAAGGGAAGCCTGTCTCCACCGCTGACCTGTGAAACGTCCCAATTATACTCTTTGGAAATGACAGGGGCACTTAACTCCCGAGCTGAGCAAATGACGACGATCAATCACGTTTGAATAACAATGAGCCACGGACCTGAAAATTATTTTTGTATAGAATCTACCCAGGAATTTATGAAAGGTGGAGAGCAGTCCAAGGTTTTAGGGCATTACGGCTCCCGGCTCGCACAGAGCGGCTCACACACTAAACAGAATTTATGTGTTTTAATTTTCTAAAAGGTAGATGTGGACTGGGTGCTACAATGCATAACATATAGTGCCAGGTTTTAAATATGGGGGTCATTTTCATAAAATATTATGCTTATTGCTTACACCCTTGAATTTCACTGGGGACTTTTATCAAATTTTCATTTCCTAAAAAATACTCAACTGCTGAGCTAACTATTAGGAATTATACCTTCTTCTTCCCCAACTGAAATCATTTATTTCTGGAATTAAATTTGAAGTCCTGGGTTCCTCTTTGTTCCTAAATTAGCCCTGATGAGGCTCAGGGCTGCCTGCTCTCTCAGGGGTGCGGCGCAAGCTCCCTGCCAGTGCTCCCTGCCCCCTGTCAAGCTCTCTGCTCTGAAAAGACCCTGGGGCTGTCTCTCAGGGGAAGCAAGCAGCCACCCACCCAACTGACTTTGAAACTCAGAGACCGGGCCACTGACACCACAGTAACCGGTATTTAGACTCCACTGCCAGCACTGAGGTTAAACTTGAAAGCCTCCTGCTCAGGTTTTTGTTTGTTCCCCGATGGTGCACAGGGAGGCTGCAAGTTCGCAGGGCACCAAGTTGCCTCAGACACCTGACAACAGGTGTGTTGGACATCTGACACCTGCCAAAGCTTTTTTTTTTTGTACCAGGGATTGAACTTAGGACCATGCGCTTTCAAGGCAGGTGTGGTGCCACTGAGCTAAATCCCCAGCCCTGAACGCACCCAATCTCATCTGATTTTGGAAGCTAAGCAGGGTCGGGCCTGGTTAGTACTTGGATGGAAGACGGCACTGCTTTTCTTGAGGAAGGCAGAGGAACCCCTAAGCCAGCAGCTGCAGGGACACTTGTGAAACACTGGTGTGGCGAAACAATCCCTGAAGCTAGAACAGCAGCCTGGAGAAGGAAGAGTCCTGGGAGTGGCTGGCACAGCTGCAAGGTACCAAGTAACGAGGCAGGCAGCAGAACCGCTGAGCTAAATGCCAGGGGCCCAAGGCGCCAAGTGATGAATGAGAGGTCACAGCCTCAGTGATGGTGACCTGCCCTCAAGGTCACAGAGGAGTTCAGACGGAAGCTAGCACAGAAGGGGGTACACAGGGCCACAGCACCCCAGGAGGGGTCACGCACAGTGGCGGGATGCCTGAGGTCCTGGGAAGGAGCTCACACCCACCAAGGAGGAATCAGGGCTGAGGTGGTCTTCAAGATGGAGTTAAGATTTGGGAACTCCTGCAGAGCAGTCTACTTCGAACACACCTGGCACAGAGCAAACACGGCAAAGGACACTTACAGGACCAGGCAAGGCATCTCCCAAGGGCACTTGGGCTGCGTGTGCACCAGAGCCCTGGGGACCCTCGCAGGACTCGTCCCACGCTGGTCCCCAGGAAGGATCTGCGACCCCCACCTTCTCTCCGTCACCGATGTGGGGGCGCACTGCTCGTTTCACACAAATTGATTCTCGCCCACAGTTAAAAGGATTTAGAAAAATGAGTCTCCACGATCATAATTAAACAAGCAATAAAACGGCTAAAATATACAACGCAATCAGTTTACAGAAGAGGGGCAGTGAGGTTGCTAATTATTTGCAAAGTAAAGGGAAGCGCAGCATGGTGCCCAGGAAGCGGGCGCCCACCCAGTCCACGGCCTGCAGATACAGCTGGGACCATTAAATAAATTTTGTACGATCTAATTAACTTGGTGCGCAATCTCAATTACTTTTCACCCAAGAAATCACTTTTGTTCAGTTTTATGTGTGTCTATTTCCCTTTTAAAAAAAAATGATGTAAGGCCTCGTCAGACAAGTGAGTTCCAAGCTGCATTTGTCTTTCAGCGGCTTGATGGCTATGCATTTAAAAACCCATTCTATCTTATAAACTAAAAATTAAACGTGCTCAGCTGTGATGGTCGTCATTGCATCTGCTATTTATATGCTAATGCCCTCCCTGGAAGGCCGTGCAAATTGCTGGCCAGGCCAATATCTCATGTGCATCTCTGGCTGCCAGAGACACACCTTCAAAGGATGGGGTGGCCACACTGCTGACCATGCGGGCACATGGGAGAAGACGTCTGTGCCAGGCCCCTGGTGAACCTGCAGGCCACAGGCAGGACACCTGGAGCACGCTCACCTCCCCAGCTGGTCTAAAAATCACACCAAGGCAGGCAAGCAGTGGACTTCAGGAATAGCTCTTCTCAGGAAGTCTGCTCACTGACAAGATCTCAGGGCAACACTCTGCAGTGCAGAGGACAGGCCTGGAGCTGTGTCCAGCCACTGGGGAGTCTGAGGCAAGAGGCCTGGCCGCACACGCGCAGAGAGGTCCGTGTCCAGAGCCGGCCAGGCGGAGATGGAGGACACACTGCCAACCATATGAAGGCTGAGATCCAGGTGACGCAGGCCAGGTGCCCGGGGATTCTGTGTCGGATGTGTCCCCTCAGAGTGGGGCGAGAGTGGCGCAAAGAAGCAGGTCAAGTCATCGTGGGGTCATCTGAAACTTACACAAACCGACATCACACCCAATGGAGTGTGTAATCGCCTCAGAGCTACTGCACTGCAAGCCTAATCACTCCGACCCCCGAGAGGCTTAACAAAGCGTGGGCCAGGGAGGAGGGAAGCCGGTGCCAAGCTGCTCTGGGAGCCCCACGTCTGACTGACAGGGGACAAGAAGTTCACCACAGCCTGCAGTCTCGGGAAGGAGCGGCCAGGGCCCAGCAGCAGGCCAGCTTCAGGATGCAAGACAGCACGCTCTGTTGTGCCACGACACACCAAAGGTGTGGGTGGCAGACACCAGGCGGCCTTCCTGTCACGTGTAGAGGCCAAGCTCACAGTTCTGCAGATTTTTTCATCTGTAAAATGGGGGTAAAGAAAAAGCCCACCCCACACAGCTGCTTCTGAGATTAGAAGGGTAACCCACGTGAGGGCATCTGAGACCTGGCTCATGGGCGGCTGGTAACATGCAGCCCTACAGACAGGGTGTGCCCAGGGGACAAGGGTGGCAGCAGCTGGCTTCGGGTGGGTCAGGCCTACAGTGTCCTCCCAGTCCCCACAACCCCTAGCCCTCCCCTGCGGATGCAGGGCTGTGGTGCGGGCTCGGCCTTCAGTGTGATGGAGAGGGCTGCAGCGCCCAGGAAGGTTGTTTACCGGCCCTGCTGCGGCACAAGGCTTCCTGGCAGGCTGATTTAGTTTCCCTGCCTTCCCCCGCGTGAGCCTGATGGGTTCAACATTTCATTCCCTGGGGTTTCTGCTTCTGTCCTTTTCACCTACAGGAAGAAAGTGCCCCCAACACGGCAGGGCCTGGCTGGGCGCAGCACATGCCTGGGGGTGTCCGGGAGGCCACCTGGCACCCTGACTGAGTACTGAGACGCCACGCAGCACTGCGGCCCCAGAAAGAGGAAAGGCTGCTGCCTCAGATGATGCCTTCTGGCCCATGGCCGGGGAAATTAGTATTTTGTTAATTACACAACGCGAAATAACTGGTGATCCAGGCTACGTAATTAAAAGGCAGGCAATTTAAAAGTTTTCAAAGGATTTTTATCAGTTTAACGAATGAGGCAGCCCTGGGTTATTCCCGCTCGCCTGTAACGGAGCTGGGTGGAAACTAAATCTACCCAATGACCCTCCACATTGATCCAGCTCAGATTTATCCCTGGCTGGCCTCCGACGGCGCTGACACAGAGACGCTCTATAAAACAAACACTTAAGCATATTTAAACCGGCTTAAGTATTTTTTGAAGACAGAACATCTATGTCAAGAGGAAAGCAGTATTACGCAGGGACCAACGACAGCAGAAGGGGCCATGGGGACCATGTGCTGCCTGTCCCCTAGGGCCTCTGAGGCAGAGGGAGCGCCCAGGTGCCCCTGGCCCCGCTCCTCGGGGTCTGGGCTGTCGTCATTTGAGCTTAACGGGTGACATCGTATTTGCTTCGGTCTCTTACACATTTGTTAGAAGTTCTAAAATATTTAAATCACGCACTATTGAATTAGCGCTGCCCGCTCAGCCTGTTCTACATGCAGAGTTAACGATGCCCATCCTACGCTACATGGGGAAACACCGAGGGAAATGATTGAGACCCTCCGTAAATTTTATTTGAAAATTAGCGAAGAACACCTTGTTCATAATTTCTAATTAAAACAGCTCTAATGAACACAGCCATTCATTAGCTAGCCCCACCTGGCCTGCATAGGCCACTGCGGAGCAGCAGCCCTGCAGCGCTGGGAGTGAGCGGAGCTGCAGGAGGGAGATGCGCAGATACCATGGCTATTCTGGGAAGCAGTGCTCACCCGCGCCAGGCGCTGCCACTCCCCACCAGTCACCTCATCTGCAGGCTGCTCACTCCGGCCACCGGGAGCAAAGGCCCCTGAGGATTTCAGAGCGCTGCCTCTGTTAAAGCAGTCTTTGGAGTCTAACAGGCGGCATCCCAGTGACAAGAGAGCGAGGTGCTGTCTCCTTCCGCCGATGCTGTAACAACCAGCCAGCCAGCCCTGCACACGGAGGACAGCAGCAGCCTTGCACTGTGGCCTGGCGGGAGCATGCAGGCCAGACAGTACAGCGGGAAGGGGTCAGCCCCCACCGCAGGACCCACAGCTAGGCCAAGTGCACCACTGAGGCGCACACATGGGAGAACAGTGTGTGGGTTAAGATGGGGCCAGCAAGAGCAATGAGGTTTGGGGGACGATGGCAGGTCCTGCACTCCAGGGGAGGCTGCAGTGGCTCTAGCAGGGCCAGGTCAGACACCTACAAGAGCTTGGATGTGGCCCAGCATGGTGGGAACCATGCAGCAGGTGCACCCAGCCCTGCGGACTGATTCTGGGGCATGAAGACCCCAAGCTGCTGATGCTGCAGGGGGGCAGGGAAGCTGGTGTGGCCTGGGCAGGTGGTCGAGGTAAAGCAGAGTGTGGCCCAAGGCCTCATTCAGTCTCCCTGGGTGCATGGCTATGCCAGCAGGTTGGGTGGAGCCATGGGCAGCAGCCACCACACAGGAGAGCTGCAGCCCCGGAGGTGCTGGTCTGCAGCTGATCAGGAGGATGCAGGTCTGCTCCACCGCTGGCCCACTCAGAGCCTTGGGCACAGGGTCCTACCAGCCCTAGTTCTGCTCCTGGCCCCAGATCACACACAAGCCTGGCAAGACCAGACTGTGCTACCTTGCTGCCCTCAAGGACCCATGGCCATGCCCTGGAGCACCAGCTGCCATGGCACAGCCACTAGCAACGTGACTACCGTGGTCAGAAGCCTAGCCTGGCCTGCCCCAGCCCTGACAGGAGGAACTGGGTGCACCTCAGCACGAGGCCATGCCACAGGCTGGTCCCTAGGCACCAAGAAAGGGGACCCTGGGACTCCAGTGCCAGAGCCAGCCCTGCCATCCTAAGGACCTTGCAGCATCCTGGCTGCTGACCTGCCTACTACTTCCTTCACACCAAGAAACCACTCTGCACTGTGCTCAGAATTCACAAGCTCATTTCTTGTATCAGTAACTGTAAGGCACCACAGAGCACCCACAAAATAGCCAGCACAGGCTGCCGCAGCCCAAGCTTCCCAGGGCCACCCTAGTGCTTGGACACAAGTTTAAGAAAGGAGCAAGGCCGCCCTCTGCTGGCCGGGGTGGGGATCCACGCAGTGGACGCAGGACCCTTCCTGGGCTCCAATGCTGGAGCTATACCACCTGCCCATGGGGCACTGCCCTGGCGCAGTCTGGTGGTCCTTCAGAGCTGGATGGGGTGTCACCCTCCCTGGGTCCTAGGATGGGCTTCTGGATGGCTCCAAACATGAACTTTTCCTCAGCAAAAACAGTACTCTTTCTACCTGAAAGCGACCTTCAACAGTCAGGGCAGCAGGGGCAGCACTGGGCTCCCAGGGAGCAGCTAGGGTCTGTCCTCTATCCTGAAGCAGACAAGAGATGCAGGAGAGTGATCAGCTGTGCATGAGGGCCCAGATGTGGCTCCCCCTGATCTAACAGCGCTAAGTGTAGCCCATCTCCATGCGCCATTGCAGAAATCTACTTGAGACCCCAGCACCCATCAGGCAGTGGGGACCCAGTGACAGTCCCAGAGCAGTGGCACCTTTGCCCAGCACACAATCCTGCAGCAGGCATTGCCAGGTGCCCTGCACTCAGGGGTTTGACAGTCCAGCTCTCCCCTCAGATACCTCGGTCCCTCTAGAGCCAGGGTGCCACAGGGCCCAGCAGACAGCAGCTCAAGTCTCCCCAACAGTCAGCACAGTACTGTGCTTGCCCCTCGGATCTACCCTGGCTGACTCTGGTGTCCACAGGACCCCAGCTGGCAGCTGCGCAGGAGCCCCAACTCACCGTTGGCGTGAAGTGCTGTACCACGCAGGGGATGAACACAGAGCACCAGCAGCAGGGACATCATGTCTGGCGGTGCAAGTGACTCAAGGGCAGTACCCACCAGAAGCAGCCCTACCCTGCACCCCTCTGCCCCAGGCAAGGCTGTCTGGGCTCCTGCTGCACATGTCCACACTGAGTGAGGAAGGAACAGGTCTTCTAGAGCCCCAGCCGCTCTTGCTTGTGCAGGACCACCACACTCTTGGCCCACACTTACCCCACAGTGCCCACTGTCGGGCTCAATGTCAAGTTCCTCGTACTTCTGCAGCACGAGCTCCAACTCCGTCTTCAGGTCAATGGCACGCTTCAGGTGTCCACCATGGGCCATGGCTCGGGTAAACCGCTGCAAGCCAAGGGAGTCACAAGGGCTCACGCAGCCCAGGAAGTTGGCCTCCACACCGGCTCTGTGGGCAGGGACGGAGCCCTCCCAGGCAGGGGTGGCTCATGGTCTGGGCCCAGGTCCCCTGATGATGAGTGCTGTGCCTGGCCCTTTCTGTGCATCCTCCTTTGATCCTGCACCCCCGCCATCCACACCCTTGTGCCCAGGCTCTCAGCCTGCTGGGGACACCAAGGGGGAGATGCCTGCCTTACCTGCACCCAGGAGCTCACAGCCGGCAGGAACTTGTTCTGGATCAGCTTGAGTGCGTCACGGGCAGCGTGGAGGACAGCACGGTTATCCTCATTCTCTTGCACCCTCAGGCTGTCTAGAGGAGGCAGGGAGTCAGGCAGACTGTTAAAGCCCTCAAGACACACAAGGTGCCTGCCCCCGATTCGTGCATTCCCTGGGAGGGACTCATGGGGCCTTGGATAGGAGCATCTGGCTCCTCACCAGGCACGCCCCGCCGCAGCTCATCCTCCTGCTCTGACACAGTCTCAGCTGTGGCCATCCCTTGTACAGGGCACCCGCTCCACCAGCACCAACAGAGCAGCAGCTCCAAAGAGGGTGACTCCAAGCCACTGCACCCTAAAGCTGTGACTGTGTGACTAAATCACACCTATCAACACAGAAAGCAAATGCCTGGGGTGCCACCCAAGAGGTGGGGTGGCAGGGTCAGGCAGGCCAGGGGGCCCCTTACCCGAGGACAGCTCCACAGCCAGTGTGTACTTATGAGAGCCAAGCCCATGGCTCCGCACGAACTCCTCTGGGTCACTGTCCTCATCCTCATCCTCTGAAGGACCCCCCGCTGCTGTCTGGGGCAGCCCCTCTCCACCAGCAGCAGCTCCTGGGTGGCATGCAGAGGCAGGCAGGTCTCTGCTGCAGCATGGCTGCTCCTCATCCTGGGGGTCAGGGCCAACAGGCCAGTCAGGGGCAAGCCAGCCAGGACCCGAGGCATGAGGGACAAACTCCACAGGTGAAGGGCTTACGCCCAGGTCCAAGGGCACCAGCAACTTGAAGCAGTTCTCCACCTCCATCAGACAGCAGCCAATCTCCTCAGACATTTCTGCCAAGAAATGGAGGCTGATGACTAAGACAAGCAAAAGAGAACTTGGCCCAAATTATCAGGCCTGCTCACTGCAGGGCACCGTCCAGCTGCAGGTGATCGATGGGCCTCCTTCCCAGGGAAAGCCAGGACCCCGAGCGCTGAGTTGTGGCAGTTCCTCACCACCCCAAGCCCCTGGCAGCCATGGGAGCACACACCACCGCCACTACCATGGGACAAACCCCAGCGGGGTGACCAGCCGGGACACTGTGCCCAGTATGCAGGGCAGTCACACACCAACACCGCCCTGCACCCTCTTCCTAGGGCGGCCTTCCCAGCCCTGGGTACAGCTTCCCGTCCAAGGGTTCCCCCAGGGCCTGGGCTGCTGTGGGGTGGCTGTGGAATGTCTGCAATCAGGACAGATATCTGTGGGGGGCCCACATGCAGGCAGGTCCCCAAATGTGCCAGTGGTCTCAGCCTGTCTTGGGGTGCTCTGCAGGTGAGCGACTGCAACCCTAGGCCTTCACACCTGGGTTGTGATCCACACCAGGGCTGGCTGACAGGAAGTACAGGTGGGGAACCTGGGAAGGGCACTGGTGAGGGCGAAAGTAGCCACGAGATGAGTGGGTGACAGGGTGCCCAGGGGGACCTGGCCTACACCAATCTACCCCAGCCTCACAGTGAATGACCACAGGTGAAGCCAAGCCCCTGGAGGCCAGGAAGCCAGGCAGCCTGCAGAGGCACAGCTCAACCCAAACCCTTCTGTCCAGCCCACCGGCCCCTGGAGGGTCCGAGTAGAAGGACGTGGGAGAACAGAGGCACAGGGCCAGCCTGGGAACTCGCCTTCCATCTCTCTTGCAGCCTGCTCAGCTCTCTCTCCGTAGATTCTATCCAAGTGTTTCTGCTTCTCTTCTTCCCGCTTTCTTTCTGCCAAAGTCCTGGCATTCACATCCTGAAAATCCACCTGAGAAATCAACAACAAAGGCAGGGACTGCCCAGCATGCACACACACGCAAGGACAGACTGACCCATGGAGGGCAACGTGCACCAGGCCCCCAGTCCACAGTGTTGTAAACACCTGACCTTGCTGCCTGGCTGTACATGTCTGCCACCTGAGATAAAAGCAAAAACCTAGTCAGGCATGGCTGTACAGGGCACAGGCTAGCAGGAGGCTGAGGCAGGAAGAAAGCAACTTAAGGCCCAACCTCAGCAACTTAAGACCCTGCCTTAAAACAAAACAAAACAAAATAAAGTGTAAAAAGGACTCGGGATGTAGCTCACTGTGAAGGCCCTGGGTTCAATTCTCAGTACAGGAGCTGGAGGCATGGGGTGGGTGGTTGTGAAAAGACTTCCAGCCCCCAGCCAAGCATGGTGGCACACCTGTCACCCCAGCTACTCAGAAGGAGGATGCAGGACTGCTTCACCTGAAGGCTTGTCTGGCCAACACAAGACTGTCTCAAAAAATAGGCAAAATAAAAGAAAAAATACTTTCAGCTGCCAGGGAGACACAGGCCAGCAGCAAAGGGGGCTCAAAGCCATCCAGGTATGAGCCTGAGAATGCTGCACAGTGGGCCCATGGGACGGCTAGGCCATCTGCTTGTGGCAGGGCACGGCGGGGTCTGGGCAGTGATGGGGTAGGGTGAGACAAAGGAGCAGACCCTGGAAGGTTTCATCACACCCAGGGCAGCCAGAGCCCACAGTAGGGTTCTGAGGGAACTTAAGGTGCGAGGGTGGAGCAGGAACCATTCCAGGATGGGGTGCATGTGTGAAGCTGGCACCTTGAGTGCTGTTTCTCCCAAGGCAATCCAGCAGCCCAGGTGCCCAGCCAAGCACCCCTGCACCCGACTCAACAGGGAGCTCTTCCACCCACCGCCCAGGTCTGCCCATCCAGCCCTAGGGAACCAAACGGCACCACGCAAGGCCCACTCACCTTTTTGGTGTGTCTTAGGAAGTGGTAGCCCAAGGCCAGCTTCTTATAGGCCTCACCAAACTGCTCATTCCAGCCTTCCACAGCATGCACGGCCGCCTGCTTCAGCCTCTGGGCTGCCTCCCTGGGAGGCGGCAGGGGCTGCTCATGGTCTGTGCCCAGAGTGAGCTCCAGGAACTCCTGGAAGTCAGAAATGAGCAGCAGCCTGAACTGGTGAGACCTGGCGAAGAGCACATCCACAATTCGGAAAGCGGAGAGGCGGATCTCGGCGTGGTCCTGGCTCAGCTGGGTCATCAGCAGGCGGTAGGCATGGCTGAGATGCTCCTCTGAAGACCTGGGGTCACAAGTCAGCCTGACTCAAGTGCCCAGCACTTGAAGGACAGGTCAGTCAGCCTGTGCTCCTGAAGCAGGGACACATGTTCATATGTCACGGCTCAGTCTTCACCCTCCCCTTTGGGAGCTGGGTTGGCACCACCAAGCACCAAAGGCAGCCACCAGCTGGCCTCCTCCTGTATGGCCCCACACACCAAAAATGTCCTTTACATTCCTAAAGGCGTTACAGCTCAGACACAGAGCGCTGCCCTAGCGCACGCTAGGCCGTCAGTCTACACACGCAACATAACGTGACACACATAAGAGTATTTCTCAACACATAAAGAGTATGATTCAAAGGTCAGTGGCTGTCAATATTCTCACTGGAATATGGCCCACCTCTCTGTTCACATCAACACAGGTGCTTTCAGAGTGGTTGCAACAGAGGCCTTACTGCCATGCAGCCCTGTATTACCAGCCGCCCTTTACAGAAAATCGACAGCCCTCACCCTAGCACGACAGAAATCAGGTGGGACACCCTACCCTGGCCAGAGCGCTTTCTGGGGTCCCTCTTTCCAGCTGCAGCCCCGTGTAACCAGAGTTAAAGGCTTTCTTGGATGTTGAGCAAAACTTGGTCTAAGCTGGTTTTTTTTTTACTGAAGCACACACACCTTTTCAATTAATACATGGTCACTTAATTTCCCTTGCTTTACAAACACATCTATCAGTAACCCTAGGTTCATGTTCGAGCAACTAGGAGAAAGGCATAGCAGGATTCCTACAGACGCTTCCTTGGGGGGCTTATCCTAAACACACGGTGTGGGGCAGTGTACACGAGTTTATGTGCTGGAGGTATAGGTCAGTAGTAGGGTTTGCCTATAATGCTTGTAGCCCTGGGTTCCACCCTGATCCATAGAAATAAATAAATAAATAAATAAATAAATAAATAATAAATAAATAAAATGGGGCAGTCATTGCACCACGAACTTTCTCTTTTCACGTTTACATATTTAGCTATACAGCTGTATGTGCACTGAGGGCTTATGGATCATATGCTCCGTAACACATACAAGTGGCACCAATCAGAAGTAGTCAGAAGAGAGCCTTTCTGTGCTCACCCTAACCTACACACTTGGCCCCAGAGTCCTGGCTCTGCAGGGCCCCTTGGTTTATTCCAGGTGGTGGCAGGCGGTGATGTTTCAGACAACAGAGGGGTGCTGTACCGCAGGGGCACCCACAGTCCCTACAAGTCACAGGCTCACTGCGCCAGCTATCACGAAACCCTGCCTCTACAGACATACTTGCAGATTTTCTTTAGTTCTTTCATTTTCTCGGGATTCAGTTGAGGTTCTCCTGAAGTTGTGAGCTCTTCTACCAACTTTGGAAGTTTCTGATCCATATCTAGGAATAGGGAGCAGAGACGCTTAATTACTAGCTGGTTCTGTACCTTTAGTTTTACTTGTCATCGAATGTTTACTGAGCTCGCCTCCGTGCTGGGCAGTGCAGGAGGCGCCGCGACACTGCTAAGAGGGGTGACTTCCTGCGAAACATGACCATTATCTAGGAGCCACTGGGACGAGTCGAGCAAAGCCTTCTGGTGTAACTAGTTAGTTTCAAAGACCAAACGTGAAGCGCCGCCGCTGTTCACGTCCCATATAAACCCCTGTTCCCTCCCGGTTCCCCCGGACGGGACAGCGATGGACGCTACCAGTGAGCTGGGGCCTGAGCAAGCGAATGCGCTGCGCGGCGGTACTCCACGACCACTGCTTCGCTCGATACCAAAGGCAGAAGTTCTGTGCAGTCACACCTGCTGCCCCCACTCAGCAGCCCGGCGGACACCGCCCAGGTACCCGGCCAACGCGGAACCAACAGCGCACCAACAGCCCCGCTCGCTTCTCCCCGCCCCTTCCGGTGGGGGCGGCACCGACCGGTCACAGGCCCAGAGCTCAGCGCCTATTGGCTCGCTCTTGCTGCGCGGCGCAGGCAGAAGTGGTCAGCAGCAAGGAGGCGCCCGCCGTCTCCCCGCCCATTCCGACGAAGGCCCAGCTAATCCCCTGCCCCGATAAGGGCAGCCAATGGTTCGCAGGCGCTAGGGCGAGGTGAGGCGGAGTTCCACGGGGTGACGTAAGCACGCTCCTGAAAAGGCGGGGCGGGGCGAGGGAGACGGCGAGCGAGAAAAAGGAGGCGGGAGGGCGCAGCAAATCCTTAAAGGGGCCGCAGATGCAGGCGCAGAGCATGGATTCCAGGCGGTGGGGCCTACGGGACCTTGAGGCCCAGTGGAATGTGTCAGCTGGGCCTCGTTGCCACGGCCGTCTGAAAGCTTGCACCCCACTGCACGGCCCCGAAGACAGTCCAGGTGGGAGCGAAGCCGCGGGCGGGTGTCGACCGAAGCGCCCAGCCCGCAGCCTGCTTTGTATGTCTGAGTGGTTCTGACCACTGAGCAGTGGTGTATGCAGGGAGGGAGGGGCCCCAGATCCCCTGCTCCCGGGCTGTCGGTGCGCGCTCCCCTCCCCGCCCGGTGCCTCCTTCCTGCGGCGACTTCGCGTCCCTCCGCACGCAGCGACTTCGCGGCCCCTCCTCCCTGCCGCACATTCCTGCAGCTTGGGCGTCAGCTCCCTGTGATCACCGGGTGGCCAGTGAGGATCACCTGCAGGTCAGCCCTCCCACCTCTCTGGGCAGCCAACAGCGACCGGGCGTCCGTCCTTCTGTCTGCCTGGGAAAATAAGCAATCACCCCAAGTCCAGTCCGTTTGTGAACCCCGACAGCCCCACCTTCAGAGCAGGACCAGGGCCTGAGCGCGTCCCACCACCTCAAGTCCAAGCCCAGCTCCCGCCCTGTGCTCTCCTGCCTACATGTGTCCCTAGTGCACTCCACACTGGCCAGAGACCCTCAGAGGCTGCCGTGAGATCCCATGGCTCAGGAGCAGATCAGGAGCGCTGCGTCTGCCTGTCTGAGGAGCCGGCTCGCAGGGCTGGTTCTCCCCAGGTCGGGCCTTGGGACCTGCTCTGTTTGGAAGTCTCTCCTGCACCTGCTCACGCGAGAGCGCACACCCTCCGCTCCTGGCCCCTTTGCGGTAACACGCTCGGGGCCTTCAGCCGTCTGTCCCAGACTTGGGCTCCCTGGTTTCCTTCTCTTCTCCACCCCAGGGTCTGCTCCCAGACAGCAAGGATCCTTGTTTTAGTCCATGAAGAAACAGAGCTCTGTAAATGATAAAACTGTGCATAAATATATTTCATTTCAACTTTATTTTCTAAGTCACTGACTGCAAACACGGATTCTAGGGTATGTCACATGTAGAAAAAATTCTGACCAGAGAAACCCAAAGGACAGGGTGAGAGAAATAGTAGTGTATATGTAGATCGTTGAGTTTTTACTTGAAGTGGTGGGTATGGTTTCGGTCTAAAATGTTCTGAAGTTAAGGTCTGGTAGGAAGGGGTGGTCACGGGGACGTGACCGGGAAGGGTGCATTCTCGTCCTCAGCTGCTCCTCGATCTCCCTGCTTACTTGCCACTCTGTGGTGAGCGGCTCTCTTCCACCACGCCAGTCTGCCACACCATTTCTGCCTTGGAACCAGCTGACCATGGTCTGAATCCACTGAACCTATGAGCCAAAACATAGTGAGTTAAACATAGTTGCAAAACATCCCTAGAAAAATCGTGGCAGGCCAAACCCAGCAATATATAAAAGCTGTCATACAATACGAGTATCTGGGGTTTATCTCAGCAATGCCAAGTTTAAGGACCTGAAATCAGTATCATCATCCATGTGAACAGAATAAAGGATGCTATCACACGAAGCAAAACATTTTGACAAAATTCAACATCCATTCATGGTCATAACTCTTAGGGAACGAGAATCGGAACTTCCTCAGCCCGATAGAGGACACCTGCAGAAAACTGACAGCGATGGCCATGTTTACCTGTGCAAGACTTACCTCCACTCCCACTGCACTCAGCACTGCCCCGGAGCCCAGTGATTACAGTAGAGGAAGAGAGGTGGAGTTCTGGGTGAGGGGACCCAGACCATCAAGAAGTGAATGTGCAAATCTTGGTCTGTGTATACATGGATTCCTGCTACTGCTGCTCAGCAACATACAAAGGAATTACTGTGTTTGTCAAGGGAGGCCAAGGCAGGAGGATTACAAGTTTGAGGTCAGCCCGGGCAATTTAGCAGGACCTCTTTGAAAACAAAAAGGAAGGGGGCTGGGGATTTAGCTCAATGGTTTGGTGGCCTGCCTAGCAAGAGCAAAGATCCGAGTTCAATCCCTGGTACCCCCAAAAAAAACAAAAAGGAAGGAACTAGAGAAATGTGACTCAAGAGTGTTCATATGGTAGGTGGCTGTGGTGGCACATACCTGTAAGTAATTTCAGCATTTGGGAGGCTGAGGCAGGAGGATTGCCATTGCAAGGCCAGCCTGAACTACACAGTGAGACCTTGTCGCAAAAAAAAACAAAACAAAAAACAACAAAAAAAAACAGTAGACTCAACCCAGATACAAAAACTGCAGTTTCCCTTGGACTGTGTGCATTGTTAACGTATGTCATTTTAAAATTAAAATTTTAGTCGGGCATGGTGGCACACACTTGTAATCCCAGCGCTTGGGAGGCTGAGGCAGGAGGATTGCTGTGAGTTTGAGACAGCCTGGGCTACATAGTGAGTTCCAGGTCAGTCTCAACTACATAGTGAGACCCTGTCTCAAAAAACCAAAAAAAAAAAAGAAAGAAAGGAAAATTAAATTTAAATTCAAAGAAGTTAACCAACAAGGCCTGATGCCCAGTGTTGGCAAATGCTGGAGGACAGAGCAGGAGAGCACTGTGCAGTACTGGTGCCTATGGGAAGTGGGCACATGCTTGGCAAGCTGGCAGCCCCGGCCAACCAGGCTGAGCCCTATGCCACTCCCCCCACAGTGCTGCTGAGCATGAATCCTGAAAGCCAGGCTTGTGAGAGTTCACAGCAGTCCTGAGGATGCCCCCACCATGCTCCAGTGTGCCACCCTGGCAGGTGAGCCATGGAGCCCACGAGAGCTAGCTGGGAAAGGACCATGGGCACTGGCACAGACTCCATGTGGACATCTGGGAGCCCATCCATGACTGTCCCAGGTGCCCTGGGGCAGTAATGCCACCCTGGTGCACATAGTGGGGAGCGCAGTGGCTAAGGAAGCTCCCTGGGCCATGGCACAGCAGGGCCCTGTGGGCACCACTGCCCACTCCTGGCTGGTGTAGGCAGAGTAGGTCATGGGTCCTGTTGAGGGCAGAGGTGTCAGCCAGAGCCATGTGGCCAATGCGCTGTACAGGTCTCAGGGCTCCCTGAAGCAAAGCACTGGTGCCTTGGGGAACAGAGGTCAGCAGTGGGCCCAGGGACTCCACCTCTGCCAAGGCCTGAACTGGTTTGCACCTGAAGAGGTTCGTGCATGACCTGTGGTGGGTAGGTGTTGGAGCTGGGGGCAGCAGCCACAGAGTGGGAGCACAGACAGCAGAAAAGGGTGGCAGAGCAGCTGCTGAGGGTGGCAGCTATGGCTCAGGATCCCAGACCCGACTGCTGATGTCCACAGCTGCAGCCTCTGCCCACAAGACATGGCCACACAGGGCCCTGGGAACCTGGGCTGGAGCTGACAGGAGTCACTTGCAGAACCCATCAGGCTGGACCTCTGGCCCCAGCAGGGCACTGGGTGGCACAGCAGAAGCCACAGCAGTGTTGCTGTGCCCAGGCAGCCCCTGGAGGCCCAGACAGTGGCTCCCTCTCGTGTCTGGACAGCAGTGAGAAGCCAGGCTGTGTGTGTGGCTCTCTGTGGCTGCCCAGCCCGCTGCTGGCAGGGAGAGCAGGGCAGACCCTGGGGTCAAAAACGCTCACACAGAAATGAGAAATAGAAAGCCATTTTATTAACACGTTTTACATTTACAGTTTATTAGCTAATTGACATCAACATGCAAAAATAAGCGCTAGATACAAACCTCTACAATGTGGTGTGTGAACTACAGGTTCGTGTGTCTGAAACCCCTCAGTACTTGGGAACAGCATTGAGACTCTAGGGTTACCGAGCCATCAGCAAGGCCTCTGCAGAAACGCGGTCCAGTGGATTTCCACGTGATACATTCTCGAAGCAGGAAGTAAGGCGGCGCAGAGGGTGAGACCCGAACCTGCGCACATGGGCCGGCCAGGACACTGTGCCTCGCTAGCCCTGGTGCCGCACAGCTCTGGATGAAGTCAGGAGAGGCCCCGTGCGCTGTGCCAAAGTCCCCACCCCAGTCATGGCCAGTACCCGGGAAAGGACCAGCCCATTCCTCAAGCCCCCGAGTCTCACGGTCAGCAAGTGGAGGAGACCTAGAGACACGGGAGTCATTCCTGTTTTTGAGATGTTCTAGAGTCCCTCACGGTCAGGTCAGGTCAGTCTGTGGAGAAGCTCCTCTGAGAGGCGCAAGCATCAAAGAGTTGACGCATGTTACGAAATCCTACCGATCGAAACGTTTTCAATTACAAACAGCAAATCTCACTTCCTCTCTCCCTAAGAGTATTTGTTGTTGCTCACTGATCTTTGGTCGCAAGAAACAGGCTGGGGTCAGGGACAGGAGGAGCGTGCGGCGACAGTCTACATGATGTACACCTTCTCGGCCTGTGAGAAGTGGAAGACTTCTTTGGTTCTCGGGCAAACAACTTTGTCATCTTGACGGATAGAAAGCAGAGACTGAAAAAGACAGGAAAACATTAAGACAGGAAATGCAATACGCACTAGGATTTCCAGTGAAACCCATGTGAGGAACCCTCCGGGAAGAGACCCCTCATTCTGCACACCACTTCCTGAAGGTGCACCTGTCACACAACCTTGGGGCTGCTCAGCTGTGGCTCCGCCCCTCACCCATCTCCAAAAGATGGCAAGTGCAGCCCAGCACCGCCCTGCTCTCTCACATTGTAGCCGTAGACGTAGCCATTGGGCAGCATCATGGGCGGGTTGTTCTCATTCATCACATCGCCAGAGATCTTGCAGACCAGGCGGGAGTTGGCACAGTGGGCCATGGGCAGGGGCTGGGCCAGCTTGTTCAGGGAGCGGCTGCACACTGGGCAGTCGGGGCTCTTGGAGCTGCCATCCTCCTTGTAGCACTGTCTGTGCACAGGGTTAAGGAAGGGCTGGGGGCCACTGGGGCAGCAGGGAGACAGGCATACTGTGGCTACTCACCATAGGCACCATGCAGAAAGCAAACACAGCTAATGAGAGAATGCGGCGCCCAACAACCAGACAGCCTACGCAGCCTGACCCAATAAGCAGGCACGGCGCCTCAACCTGCTTGCCTCTGGCAGGAGCTCAGCTTGGCTCCAGGTCCCTCAAAGTCCTAAAGATCTGGACTGGGTTTGGAGGTCACTCAGGGTCAGCCGCCTGGCCCCAAGAACACAGCAGCCCCTCAGATCAGGAGACAGAGCCACGTGAGCCCACAGACTGAGCTTTCAGACCCCTAGCCATCTCAGCACAACAAGCTCAACAAAGGGGAAACGTGGTCTGCACAGGGATGTGGCACCTGTCCTTTGGGCAGGACACGGTGGCACAGGAAGGGCCACTGTGCTAAGACGTGAGCATGGGCAGGAGCTTGACCACGGGCAGGGAGGATACGGTGTCTTGATCGCCGAGAGGCCAGCCTGCAGAGTGAGCGTGAACACAGAGCTGTTCCCCAGCTGGTGCAGGCGGTAGTTGTCATATCGGAACTGCTGGATCAGCATCCGCCACCGTGCCGGGTCCAGGAGGTCCTGTAAGAGACAGGCAGGGGTGCTGGGAACCTTTGGGGAGACCCACAGCTGGCAATGGAGTCGCGGTGGGTGAGACACACAGACACCCCCCAACCAGCCTGACTCAGGACCCCTGCAGGGCCTGCAGCCTAACTCTGCGGAACAGCTCCCTGTGCACACATCCACTGACATGCTCTGCAGTGAGAATCCCAAGGCCCGTGGCAAAGACAGGACTCCCAGGTAGGAAGCACAGCAGGGCAGAGGGAGCCACAGAGCACTAAAGCTGCAAGGGGGAAGTCATACTCCAGAGAATAACACTGGATGCAAAAGAGCAACTACAACAACCTCAGCCAAGGATCATGAAGAGAAAGCCAGACACTAATGTCCAAGAGACAGAGATGGAGGGAGAGAGGAAAGACAGAGGAGCTGGGGGCACTGGCCATTCATCCTGGGCAGTGGGGGCAAACCTACGGCATGTATGCGCAGTAGGCTATATCATGGAAAGCTCTGTTACTGTGTTTTTCTTTTAATGAGTTTTCTCTAAACTAAAACCTCAGCATTTAGGTTTAATTGCAGTGTTGGCACTTTGTGGCAAATACTTGGGTTTGGGGCTGCAGATTGGGCACTCTTCTCTAAAAGGTTCACTGTCACTGGTACAGGGTAATGACACAATTTCAACCTTTCTTTAAAAGTTTTGTTTTTAATCTTATTTTTTGAAGGGAAAGTCTCTCTGGGATTAGACCAAAAGCCCAGAAGGCTCTCACAGAACAGTGAGACAGCTTGGGGGCCCTTCCTGAAACCTTTCATACCAAGGCCTTATGGCCACTACCTCCCACCAACAAAACCTTGCCCTGAGTTTTTGGTGACCCAAGACTCATAGGTGGGGGACTCTGCTCTCTGGGCCTGGTGACTGCCGAGGTCTTTTTCATGTGGGATGCCTGCATTCTCAACTCTCCTTTAAGCTCACTGTACCCTAGGCTACCTGCTTCCCGTGAGCCAACTCTGTCCCATGTGACCTTGGTCTGTCTTCCAGGTCACAGAATCCCTCTGAGTTCATGGACAGGGGAAGACATAATGATGCGTTATGCCTGTCACCAAGCTCAACTCTGGGCACGCGCAGAAGGTGGCAGTGCACACAATGGGACCAAGGTTGCCTCAGCCTTCCCTGCCACGTTTGGCCACCTCAGGGAGGAGGGAGAGACCAACCACACTGCAACCCAGAAGCATTGCCCCAGAGTGGGTGAGCCTGTCCTGCATTTCCAACAGTCTTCTCCGGAGCAGGAAAAGAGACCCACGATGTTGATTTAAGACAGTTCAGATCTAGTCGAGGATCTAAGAACCAACCCTGCAAACCCCATGAGCAGGGAACTGCCCTTCCACTCTTCCCAGAAAATGAACACACACATAGGAGCACCAGGCTCCTGGGACTCAGCCATGCGTTCAGGGCCAGTGCAATGACAGGGCAGGCCCTGTGGCAGCCCTCAAGGCCAGAGCGTGGGGGGCCTCCATGGGGAGGCAGCGGACCCACCAGGGAGCCAGACAAAGGAGACCAGCACCCACTGAAGAAAGGAGAACCCCACAGGAGGCCAGTGATCTGGAGACCAGCACCCTGACACCCACAGCAAGCACCAGACCCGGAAGAGAAATGCGAGAGACACCAGGGCTGCAGAGCTCCTGAGCCTGGACCCGGGTCCCTCCGCAGGGCATGTGGTAGCCCTGCCCTCACATGGCACAGGGGCTACCTTGTACGGGGAAATGTGCGTGTCTGGTGGGAAGGCCAGCATGCCCATGACCTGGCGGACCTCGTCGAGTTGGCTGCCCTCCGCCTGGCTGAAGTGCTTCCTCGCATGTCTGAAAAGCAAATGTTGGCACACTTCAGTCTGCATGTCAGCGCTGAGGACCTGTGCTGATGGGCTGCACGTATGAATCAGGCACAGGAAGCCCTCAGCCCCGAGAGCTCTGGTGGGCAGGGCTGTGGCACCTCTACCCTGAGTCCCCTGTGGCAGCCCCACTCAGGTCTGATCCAGGCCTTGCAGCTGCCCACCCACCAACACCTCTGCCCCATGTGCAGGCAAACACATGTATGCATACAGCCGGTCCCATGGACTCCCTGGCATTGGTCTCTGAGGTCCACTGGCTGGCCAGGAACTGGCTCACATACCCCTGGTCCTCCCCGACTTCTGCACTGAGCCCCTCAGAGTAAGCTCCTGTACCCATGGCCAGTGACGTGGTGACTGTGGCCCTGCATGCCCAGAATAAGACGTGCCCTAGAGAAACAAACCCGACACCCGAAGGGATATGGACCTGGACAGGGGCTGGAGGCGAGAACAGGGGGCAACGAGAGGGCCACAGGGAGGTCACAGGGCTCAAGGGAGCAGGAAGGGAGCCCCACAGTGGTCTACCCGCTGGACAAGCAAGGAGAGAGAAAAAGAATGACATGAACGTTTTCTCTTCTGTAGCTCTGAGCACTGAACCCAGGGCCTCACTCTAACAGAGCAATATCCCCAACCCTTTTTAAAGTTGTATTTTGAGACACAGCCTTACTAGGTTGTCCGGCCTGGCCGAGCCTGAGTTCACGGTGTGTGCTGCATCACCCAATGAGGTTCTCTTAGTGTGCGAACTTGCACGTAACACCCGGGGGCTGCATACTGCAGTTCACCAGGCCATGTTGGACGGCAGGTGTCAGCCAACCCCACAGCCCCGCCTCACACCGATGCCTAGCACTGGGGTCAGGCACCTGGCCTACTCATTTACTAAAATTGAAAGCTGCAGGGTACAATGACCAGTGCCTATACTCCCAGCTACCTGGGACTGGGACAGGAAGCTCACTTGAGTCCAGGAGTCAGAGGCCAACCTGGGCAGAGATATCATCTCCAAATAAATTCAGTTTTAAAATAAGAAAAAAATTTTTTTCCTCACTGAGTTTATTGGTACATTTAAGGTAGACAGTACAGTTGCATTCATTATTGGGATCTTGTACCTTTACATGACAGGTCTTGGTTCTTTTTCCCCTTGTAAAATAATTTTAAGTGTTCCAAACTAATCCCAGCAACTCATGCATCTATGTAAACTAAAACAAGCCCTTTGCTGACTGGGCCAAGGCTGCTTCCCAGGGCCCAGTAGCGGGGAGACACCTTCCCTCAGCTCCCATACAGAAACCCACCTGCACTCTGCCCAGGCCCAGCCCCTGCCCCTGGCAACCCCACGCCTGCTCCTAGAAAAGCTGGCCTGGGCAGAGCTCTGCTCTGGCCCCCCCAAGCCCAGCCCTCCCACCTGCACCTCCCAAGTTCCTACAGCCAGTTTTGGCCTCCACCCCGGGGGCTCTGCAGAGCATTCTGTCTAGGTTATCCTTGTGACACAATATAGAAATAGCTTTGCTATTTTTCTTTATGTTTTTTTTTTGGTGGGGGGGTACTGGGGATCATACTCAGGCCCTTGCATTTGTGAGGCAGGCGGCAGCACCATTGAGCTAAATCCCTGGCCCATTTATTTATGTTTTTTGTTGTTGTTGTTTTGCTTTGCTATTTTTCTTATACTCACTTATAGCAAGAAAATCCAGGAAATAAAAGTAAAGTCCCTCAGCATGTCTGCCTACCCCGCCATGCTGTTTTAGAGTGAAATGGAAAGTTTTTATCCCTGTTGGCATGCTTTTCTCACCCTGATGTCCCAGGTGTCCACAAAGAAGTCCTAGGCCACCACTATCTGACCACTGGGAGCACAGAGCAGGTGCCCAGACACCTGGACGCCCGCCTGCCCCTCCTCAGCCCTACAGCAGGGCCAGACACTCCAGGGACACCCAGGCTGCTTGCCTGCAAGGCAAGCGCTAGGGCGGAGAAGCAACAGGCACTGTGAGGCAGCCCTGTCCAGGCAGGGGCTAAGGTTCGCCAACTCCCTGGCACCAAGGAGAAGCACTTCGGACAGGAAGGGTGATGGTGTGTATCCTTCCTCCACAGCCGCACCAGTGCCTCACTGCCTGGCCAGGCCCTGTGACTGTGGCTGCACAACTGAGCTACTAGCTGGGATCACTGACCCAGCACAGCCCAGGGTACAGGGCAGGACACCAATGTGTGGCCTCTGGGCGTACCCTTGCACCCCACTTGCACTCAGCACTGCCTGCACCTGCTGGGGCACCTTGTGGGAGGCCTTACTTGCACCCACTCTAGCTGGACACAGGTCTCAGGTGGGCCCTGTAGACCTACACTTCTGCTAGGCTCTGCCTGGAGCCCCACCCTGGGTTATCTCTATCTTTGGTGCTGGCCTCTCTGCTCCGAGCCCTGGGTTTAACTGCACAGGAGCCTCAGCAAAGCTGCAGTGAGAAGATGCCATGACCCAGGCCAGGCACCAGGCATGGCTCCCATCTGAGGGCATCTGCTCATGAGGAGGAGGGATGTTGGGGCATACCCTCCTCCTCTGGACACCATGCATCCAAAGGAGGCTGAACAGGTTGGGTGGGACTCCCCAGAATGAGGACTACAGCCACTGAGTACTCCTGATGCTGGAGTGATGGCACTGCCCTAAGTGGGAAGCCAGACCCAGAGCTTAGGCCACCAGCTCACTGGATGGGGAGCCCCACCCCATCTCAGACGCAGCGAAATGCAGCTACCATAGCAGCAGGGCATGATGGGGAGGGAAGAGAGCCGCCCCAGGGTGTCCCATCTTCCATCACAAACCCATGTGTGTGAACACCTACCTCACAGCATCCAGGCGCTTATTCTGCCTCACAAGCTCGATGAACTCCTGGATCCTGAGGCTGAATTCCAGGCAGCTCTGGAGACAGATAACAGGGGTCTCAGATGGCAGTGCAGGCTCCCAAATACAGCACTCACATGTCCCAGGCAGGCCTTGCAAAGGACGCCAGAGCCCTCAATGGGCACCAGCCTATAGCAAATGCCTCTGGGGACCATCATGACTCTGGCTTGTGGGCCAGACATGTGGTGTGGAAGCTGCGTGTCACCCTGGGGGTGGAGTGGATACCGCCCAGGCTCCCTGACAGGCATGTGTTGAAAGGTGTCACCAGGCATGGGCGGCAGCCAGAGACCCAGGGGAGAAGTGTAGCATGGTGCCTGGGTCACCCCAATCACCCCACAGTCATGTGAGCACCCTCACCCCCATTCCCAACGCCTGCCAGGCCTTACGCTTAGTGCATTTCCCACCTGCCCGCCTGTGCATGCTGCTGCCCATGCCATGGGCCATTCTGGGTAGGCCAGACCAAGGTGGCAGGCAGGAAAAACTAAAGACGTGCAGGTGAAGGAGTCAGGTAGATGCCAGGGGAACACTGAGGCAGTGGCAGGAGGCTCCTGCCTGACCTGAAGGCTGGGTTGGCCAGGACCAGGAAAGGTGGGGAAAGTGGCTGTCATAAAGACAGGAGCCCAGGACCTGCAGAGGTCGAGAGCTCTAGACTGGCCTGTGGAAAGCTCCATGCCAGAAGTAGGGAGGACTGGGAAGCTGCGGGGCCTAGTGGTGTCTTTCTAGGGGCTGCAGTGACTGACGGATACTATGGAGCACAAGACGAGGCAGCCTGCAGGGAATCCGCCATGAGGATCTAATCTGGGCAGGAAGCGTGGCTGCAGTCGAGCAGGATGACCTCTAGCAGCCTCAGAGAAAGCAGGCCCCACACTCTGCACTTCCACTAGAGGTAGCAGTGAGGCACAAGCAGGACCTGCAACCCCATGGCATCTACACGGCAAGTGGATCAACCAGTGCAACCTCTAGACTGACACCCCAAGACTCCCAATAACTCATCCATGCCCACAGCACCTCTTCACCACGCTCACTCATTCCAGAGACCTCCCCACCTCTCACATAGGCAGCTCTACCCAGGCCACCACCTGGTGTCCCCATGCCGCTCCACACTCATGGAACAACCATACAGGACACCTGTCATCTGGACAGGAGGTGACAGGGTGGGGTTTCCTGTCCCCCCTGAACCTAGGCAGAGGAGCAAAGGGCCTGCTCCAAGCTGGGCAGGAGTGGTCTGACTGCCAAGGTGGGGCAGCGCTGCATGTCAAGGGTGAGTTTATGGGATCAGGGAGAGGACAGAGCACCACAGGGCTCTGGGAGGGGCCCAAGGCTGGGTGGTCAGCAGCACCCACTGCAAAGCCAGCCCCACCAGTTTCCTAGGACACTCATTGGCTGCTGCAGCTGCAGACTCTGCCTAAAGTAGGAAGGAGCACAAAGCCGTACAAAGCTCTGAGAGGAGCAGCACTGTGTATACCCTGTCCTGGCTGCAGGGCACCAGCAGACACTGCCAACAGGGAGGTGTGTCTGCATGGGATTGGCCTCAGCCCTGATCTACCAACCACACAGACCTGAGGCCTCTGTGCTCTCCGTCATGTGTGACACGGAGACCTGCGGGACCCACATCCCTGCTTCAGTGTCCCTCAGGATCTAGGCACCCGAGTCATTCAACACACAATCACTTGCCACCCTGTTACTTTAAACTCACTTCCAACTCAGTGGAAGTCGGTGTCAAAGGTTCTTTTGCTGCCTAGATGTTCCCTGCTGTGCTCTGAGTGACCTCTGACACGGGGCTGAGCCTGGCTTGCCTGTCATGCGCAGTTAGCACCTTGTACCGTTCACACCTGCAGGCCTGAGTCTCCCCGTGCCCACACGTGCACCCACCAGTGGCCTCAAGAGACACAATGAGTGCCAGGCTGTGGAAATAGATGATGCTCATGCCACACAGAAATGGTCCTGAGCAGTCCCTGGGAGGAAGGGTGGGGCTGTGGCATGGCCGAGGATTACAAACCGGTTCTCCTTTCCTTTCAGGGTTTCCACACCAAGATTCTCAACCTTTTTAGGGGAGCTGCCAGCAGCTCTACTCTTTCGCAGCACCTGTGCCTCGCGCTTGCCCTGGTGGCCCTGAGTGGCACAGTGTGTCATCCTGATAGGCTCACTTAGGAAATAAAACCATCCCTCCTGTGGATGAAGGCCAGCCCTTCTGGCAGCACTGGTACGACACCATCCTTCAGTGCACAGTTAAATCTAGCTCAGGCCACTGTATTGGAAAGCTGCTGTGGTCTCTAGGAAGTGTGTATCAGTGGACCCACAGCCCAGAGTGCTGCAGCCCACAGGATGACGACCTCCAGTCTGTTCTCTGAGTGAGTGTGGATGCCCAGGGCCACTGGATGCAGGCACAGTTCCCACTAATGTGCTGCACACGTAGTGGGGCTCCGTGCCAGCCCAGCTCCTCCAGGGCCTCATGCAAACCCAATGGAGGAGACAGTTCCTACCCTTGGTAGAACACTATCCGAAACACCCCAACCAATATCACCACCTTCACACCAACACCGAGCACCACAAACCAGCAGTGAGGGTGTGCTGCGCCCTCTACCTCCTCCTGCAGGAGAGCCCCCAGCCCCACCCCAGGGAGTCCCCGGCACCTTCATCTTCCGGAGCCGGGACTTGTTGTCGTGGCACCAGGCCAGGCAAGTGGCCGTCTCACGCCTCTCCAGGGACTCTTCCACTTCTTTGGCTGTCAGGAACATTTCAATATTTACCAGGTCCTAGAGAAGGGGCAGCAGCTGGGTCAGAGCATGCCAAGCATTGGTCCTGTCCTCCCTTCCCAGCCCCAATACCTCAGCAGCCAGTCCAGGGGCAGTGCTTACAGCAGGTGCCTGTGAACCCACACGGGGCAGATACTGCTGCTCCAGGAGCTAGACCACGCCAGGGTACAACCCTCCTGGGAGCCCAGCATGGGCTACAGTCCCACAGGCCTCTAGCACAGGTAAGGCCCTTAAAGGAGGATTTTGCTTTCTGTAGCAGAAGCTCCCAGCAGAGAAGGGCACAGTGCCCTCACTGTGAAAGCCAGACAACAGCAGCAGGAGGCAGAGCCCACTGGGACACAGCCAGCTCTGCAATCCTGGGGTTTATAGGCATGTGCCACCACGCTGGCTACTTCTATTTTATTTTAAAAAGGTGGTATTTTGGGTACTGGGAGTGACTGGGGGCTCCCAACTCCTCAGAGCCTGTGCTGCATGGGAGGGGCCAAATAGCAGCCATGCCTGCTGTACTCGGGGGACCCTCATGGGGCCAGGCCCCCATGACCAAGGACCCAGTGCTACAAGCAAGGACCATGACAGAGCCACTTGTCATGAGGCAGGTGGGGATACAACCTGAGGAAAACAGAAACCTCAGATGCTGCTTCTGTGTCTGAATGATTCAAGCAAAGCCTCACAAACAGAAATCAGTTCCTGGCCAGACAGAATGCTCAGCAGCACAAAGTGCCTCTTGGCTCCTAGTTGGACTGAGAGCACGGGGCCTGGCCAGCGCCTGTGAGATGCTGGGACCCAGCTTTGGTCTGGTCCTCATCAGCACCACAGCCTGAGCCCCAGGCACCACACCCACAGGGCAGGTGGGCCCTCATCCACACAGCCACAGCTGAGTGCCGGCTGGAACCCCTCTGCTAACACAGTAAAGACAAGCCATGACAGTCAGTCAGTGTCCCACCCATACTGTTCCTGTGTCTGGCAAGCAATGCGTATGTAATACCAGCTAAAAAGCACATTTCCGCCAATAGTACAACAGTCACAGACAATGAGTTACAAGAAAATTAAAATTAAAAGGAAAGCAATCAGCCCACCCACAGGCACAGCACAGGATGCTGCAGTGTCCAGTGCAGTAGTTGTATCCAGCTGGGCCTCCCTGGACTGAGTGGGTGCCACCGCTTCAGGGCCACTCTGTAAAGGGCAAGCCGTGCCCCCACCGAGAGCACGGCATAGTACCGACAGTGCCTCAGGGAATAAAGGCTGAGAGCACTGGCTGCTCAGTGTTAGACTAGATGGCTTTGTTTAGCTTGGCCACATACCCTTCTTCGGAAGCCAAGCCTTGCCGAGATGATGCTTTCAAGGGGAGACACTTTCCTTTGCTCTGTGTGCAATTCCAAACATTTTGTCTGACACAGGACAGACAGGGTTTGCCACAGGGGTTCCCACCTGGACCACGGCACTGCCTCACCAGGACTCCTAGCACCAGGTGAGCCTTTCAGAGCTGCCCTAGGTGTGAGGCTCCTGGGCCCATCGTAGCAGAGGGAGCCCCGGTCTGCAAATGTCCTATCTACAGCACATGGCAGCTTCAGCCTCCTGGGCCCTTCCACTTCTCTTCCATGCCTCCTGTGCAGCTTAATGCCCATGCCCACCCTGTGCTCTTTCATGCCAGGCCTTGGCCACCCACCTCAGGTTGCAGGGAGAGCATAACCAGATGTTCAGGACAGTGATGTGGTGAGCACCAAGCAGCTGCCCACCCAGGATAGGCCAGGCAAGAGAGGCAGCAGGGCCCAGTGGCCTGGTGGATGAGGGTGCATCAGCACAAGACAGTGGACAGCCAGGGACAGAGAGGAAGTCTGTGCGTGCGGCCCAGTGCCACCAGAGGGGACCTCGAGCGTCCCACACCAGCTCAGTGTGGACATACCATCTCGCGGCTCCACACCCCACAGTGTGCAGCGGAGCCAACGCAGAACACATCTGGCCTAGCAGAGGAGGGCTCAGCTTCACCCAGCGCAGAGGAGGCCTCCTGCACTGCCAGGTACCCTTCCCCTAGATGCCCACAGGCAGGGACCCTCAACACTGGCACAGGCAGAGCCAGACAGAGAGACCTCGCTGGTCATGAGAAGCCAAAGCCCTGACAGGGAGCAGACAGGAACGCGCCCATGCACACCCCTGGGAAGGAGGCAGGGGCCTTCCCGTGGCCCAAGGTGGGGATGCCCGAGCTGCAGGCAGGAAGGGGCTGCCCACCTCAATGCCACTCTGGCGTGCCAGCTTCACAGCCGTGTTGTAGTAGCCGCAGCGCAGCAGGTGCTCCACCATCATGCGGTCCATGCGCTTCCGTTTCCACAGGCTGGCCGCTGCCGGCTGGTCGCTGCTGTGCTCCTTGAGGTGCTCGATCCTGCGCTTGCACAGCTTGGCGCTCTCATCCTCTGCCTGGATGGACTCCACCGCCTGCCACAGCAGAGCCACATCAGGGTGGGGACACTCACAGCCCCATGGCAAGGTGGGGACAAAGGTGCCACTCCTGAGGGCTCAAAAGAAGGCAAGCAAGGACAGCAGAAGCAGAGCGGGGGCATTTGGATCACACAACAGAAATTAGAAGGACAGGGCTGGACGTTTGTGCCCAGGCAAGGGTACATCTGGCCAGAGATGGCTGGCAGGCATGGGGCGCTCCACCACCTGGTGCTGGCATCTCTCTCAGGTACACTGGTTTGTGCTGTCTGCTCTGTGCTCCCAGGGGTGTGAGATTTGAAATGTGTTATCCTGCCCGAGTTAATGTTTTTTTTTGGTACCAGGGATCAAACTTGGGTCCTTGTGCAGGCGGCAGCACCAGTGAGCTAAATTTCTGGCTCTGCCCTGATTAATGTTTCTCATTATGAAGTGACTTGCTGAAGGCAGTGGAGGCACTGAGAGGGTCCTCGACCTCGCTGGCCTGTGCACACCTCTCAGTGGGCCCACTATGAGAAGCCCGCTGTGGGGCTGCTGTTCCCTCAGGAGTGGTCTCGGCCTGGGCTTTAGTGTCACAGGTGAAAACCCTGCACTGCCTCCTTCCACTGATGCTGTTCAGCGGGTGTGAAACACCAGTCACTGCTCTGCTCCCTCTGCCACACCTGCCACCCTCTCCTTCCTCCCATGCATTTCCACTGTCTCTGTGCCGTGTCAGACATCTCCTCAGACCCACGTCTAGCTCTCCAGCTCCTCCTCAAGCTCTGTCTCATTGCTAACTTGTAAACTTAGAAGCAAAGCCTGTGCTTTTCATCTCGGTTGTTTGATACACACACACACACACACACACACACACACACTCTCACATGGCAGAGCTGGGATCCAGCCCAAGGCCACACGCAATACCATCATTGAGGTGTAGCGTGAGGGAGGGCCCTGTGGGTCTCCAACAGGTCCTCACTTTCCATACCTCAGGGTCACTGTCCCATACCCCACCCCCTGACCAAAGCTCCTGGGCAGCAGCAGTCCTTGGTCTTTCCACCTCCCTTATTCCTGCCTCCTGTTTGGACTAGTGCTTCTTTTATGCCACATGAGCTTGCTGACACTTCCAGAAAGACATTTCAAAGGATACTGCTTTGGGGTTATTTGTAGTGCGCAATTAGTCCAAATACCCCAGACTATCAGTCCCAGCAACCTCATGTGCACTTTTGAGGTAAAATCTGAAAATAAGTCAAGCTGTCACACACCCAGCTTCCCCGCTGCCAGCCTGGGGACAGCAGCACCCACCTTCCGCTTGAGGACACTGAGCTTTTCCACCACGCCATCCAGAAGGCTGACCACGGAGTCAACGGCTGGGCAGCTGCTCAAGGTCTTCTCCAGCTCGGCCACCACCATGGTGACGTGGCTCGTCTCTCGGTCAATATTCTTCTGGGCAGCTCGGAAGCGTTTATTCAGCGTCTCGTAGGGCACCTGGACATGGAAGGGCAGTCACACATGGCCACGGCACACGGATTCCTCACAGCACCTGCAGAGGTGATGCCGCCAGCCCTCAGCCACCACCTAGAATGTCTGACACAGAACCTGACTGGGCCTGCGGAGCCCTGGGGAGAAGAGGACGTGCCAGGCCTTGCCTGTCCAGAGGCCAGCAACCCAACTTCCTCCAGTGCATGCTGACACAACTACCCCAAAGTTCACTATAAATGCACCGATGAGGAAAATGACCGACAGGAGACAGTGATGGATGGACTTTCCTCCCCCAGGCACAGCAGCGCATCCACTGAGAGGTTAAAGCAAAGCTATCAATGCCATGCATGCACTCCTCCTCCTCCTGAGAGACATCTGCCCTACTTGAAAATTCCCTTCCAGCTGGGCATGGTGGTGCACCCCTGTAGTCCCAGCATTCCAGAGGCTGAGGCAGGAAGATCACTGTGATTTTGAGGCCAGCCTGGACTGTATAGTGAGTTCACAACCAGCCTGAACTACATACTGAGACCCTCAAAAAAGCACCCCCCCAAAAAAAAACACAAAAAAGAGAGAAAACTCCCATTCTTTCAGAAAACACGGGAAATGAGGAAAAGTAAAGATTAACACTGACTGATTGCTCCTCTGGAGACAGCACCTGTAACCTCCCTGTCCACCAAGCAGACTGTGCCAACACCAGCTCCATCCTCTTGAGCCCCTAGCAGCAGGATGAACCTGTTAGAGCCTTCACAGATACAAACTGTCTGCTGGGGCACGTGTGCCATGGGCTTGCCACCACTGCTCTGCTGAGGAAGGAGCTGCGCAGTGGGGTGATGGCGGACGTGGGAAGAGGTCTGCCTCAGTCTCTTCTCCCAAACCCACTGTTCTTCCCTGAGAGACGGGATGTGGGATGGCGGTAAGGCCAGCACTGTGCTCCAGCCACCACTCAGCAAACCTTGCCCACTAGAGTCTGCTGGGGACTGCGAGGGCTGCTGGGGTTGGCTGCACTCAGCACAGACACTTCCTACGCACGCCTGTCTCATGGCAGGAAGATGAGCCACATCGGCCAGGTAGGGAGGGCTGAGCAAACAGCGGGCATCACGGCCGTAGCCAGGCAGGGCCCCGTGTGTGCTGGTGACCAGATGGACCTGGTGAAGCTGGGAGGGGACAGTGCACTTAGCTCACAGGTGTGTGGTGCACACAGGGCCAGCAGGGCACAGCACCACTCAGGCTCTCCTGGGGCAGAGTCAGCACTGTGTGTATGGCAGGTCCTGCGTCTGGGCTGTGATGTGGAAGCAGGTGTCCCCACAGCTGGCCAGGGGGTCTGTCATCCCACACTGCCTGCCTTCAAGGCTGCATTCTCCTGAGGATTCAGTGCTACCTGCAAAGGGGCACAGTCCTCTTTTTCCTGTCCACTTCTAAGGGACCAGGAGGCCCAGGGGACAGCAGCACAGCTGGTCCAGCACACAGCAGGACAAAGTGAGCAGCCCACAAGGAACCTGGAGAGGCAGAGTCCAGCCTTGCTGGGTTGGGGCTCCAGACTCCCCAGGCACCCAGCACCCTGCCCGGGCCACAATGTCCTGCTAGGGAACAGAACATGGGCGGATGGTCCCAGACTAGATGCACAGTATCCCCCAGGAGGACATCTGGATGCAGCCGCCCAAGGCCTCCCAGGTATGATGGGCGCTATGCAGAGATGACCACGGGGCAGGCTGGAGAGGAGAACGCAGGGGCAGCCCAGACCTCACAGCTCTTCTGTGAGGGCCTGAAGTTACTTCAAAGTAAAGTCCAAAGAAAGTGGGGAGCACAGGCTGAAAGGTGAGACTCTGAACAGTAGGTACTCGATCTCCAGGACAGGGACCAGTGCAGAAGGGAGGAGGACAGCTCTGAAGAGAGAGATGCCGGGTCCTGCTGTCACGTTCTGCATGAGCAGACTACCCGGCAGGCGGAAAGATGGGAGACGCACCCCTAGCCCATGCCCTCCTACCTGTCCCACACACAGAGCCGCCTTTCTGGGCCATATGGGTGCCTTGAAGGCCCTCTGTGGGAGAACCATGGCCGTGCACTCTGACACTGGTGCATTGTTTCGGTAAACACAGTTACACAGAATTACTAAAAACACAAGTTGAATAAACAAAAGCCCTACAATTTCACCACCAGATTCACACATTAAAACTGTATCCCAATAAACACAATCAAGATACATATAACCTGGAAGCTCACACCTTACTCAGGGGCCAAGCAGCTAGGAGAGCCCCTCATATGCCCATGGCAGACACCATGAGGCACTGGCTCAGGACACAGTGGCTGCCCCAGACCTGAGGCTGTTCCTCCTGCACGTTCCTGAACCACATGACTCTAGGACTGTGTCTGACCACGTCTGACCCACAGCCAACGGCCAAGCAAGCCCCCGAGTCTGGGTCATTCATGTCTAACTCTGTCCACGAAGGGGGTGCTGTCCAGTCCTAGCAGCTCCTGCCCTGAGCGCAGTCCAGCACAACAACCTCACGATGACGGACACCAGTTCTGGACCTGGTGCGCCTTCAGTGAGGTGAGAGGAAAGCAACAGAAAGCACTGACAAATCACAGCATGGCCTGCAACCCACAGGGCCCACAGCCCACACAACACGGGCATCACATTCTGAGTCCGCCTCAGCCTACACAGAGCCCTGGGCCCTCGTGCCCTGGTCAGCCCAAGCTCCACTCCCGAACCCTGACCTCAAATGGCCCAGGCTCAGCGTCCTGCAGCTGCTGCTAAGCTGCTCCAGGCAGGACTTGACCTCCCCGCCCCTGGCTCCTGGGGCCGGGCCTGGACACACTTGCCTCATCTCCACAGAGGTCCTCAGCTGTGTCCCAGCCCCTCATGTGCCTGCCCTGGCACCTGGGGCCCATGGTGTCTGTCTGCCATCACAACAAGGGTACAGCAGTTCTTGGGGGGCTCCCAGGATCTACATCGCATGTGCAGATACCTCCTGCTCTGTGCTCACCTCCCAAGAAACAGGGCAACCTGGGAAGCAGCCCTCTCCCCTCTCCTCCCCAGAGGACCCAGCATAGGACACTGTCCTAGTTTAAATGCTCTCCCCTGGACTGTTTCAGGTGGACAGCTCCTTCCTGAAGGGCGTATGATAATGAACAAGAAGGATTTCAGAAATACTGAAGACTCTAATTTGAGCCAAATCACCATTCAAGAACACGGACAAAATGAAGACACTTTGAGAACACAGGATGGAGAGTTTTACAAGTAAAGCCCTTTCCGCAAGGAGAGATGCGGAGAGACCAGGATCCAGGAGGAACAACAGCAAGTAGAAGGAGAAGTGGTACTGAAGAAGAAACCAACACAACATGGCATTCCCCTATGTGAAAAGGGGTAACACAGCTGCACATTTAGCAGACCTATGGAAGAACCAGGGAAAATGGAACAAAATGTATGTGTTTTCCTAACAACAACAGACATGGGATTACCTCAAACATACAAACGGCTGTGTACCAGGAAACAACCAGCAGAGTAAAACGCAACCTCAGAGAGCCAAGGCGCAAATCACATATCTGACAAGACTGTACAGAAAGTACCCACAAGTGGGGCCAGGGATTTAGTTCAGTGGCAGTGCACCTGCCTCCCAAGCACAAGGTCTTAGAGTTTGATCCCTGGTACCAAAAAACACCCCCCAAACCCAAACCCAAAATAAAATGAAACAGAAACAAAGAGTACCCACAACTCAACAGCAAAGGGCCATCGGATAAAAAGCAGGCAAAGGCTTTGAATAGACTTCTCTTTAAAGATATGCATGTGGGGCATGGTGGCACACACCTACTATCCCAGAACTGGAAGGCTGAGGCAGGAGGATCACTGAAAGTCCAATGCCAGCCTGGGCTAAATAGTGAGTTCAAGGCCAGCCTAGGCTATATAAACAAACTCTGTCTAAACGCATCCCCCCCAGATATATAGAACATGGAAAGATGCAAATCATTATTACTGGTTACCATGGAAATGCAAGGAGAGACCACAGCAGTATCACCTAGTAGTATCAGGATGGCTGTTATCAAGAAAACCAGAAGGCAGGCATTCTGCTAGTGGGCACACAAACAGTGCCACCAGGAACTCAGCTCGGCCACTCAGAAGACAACCTCAGAAGCCCTCCTGCTGGGAGTGCACCAGAATCGTGAGCAAGGCCGAGAGCCACCTGCAGACTACAGTCACTGCAGCAGCACTCAGCAGCCTCTTCAACACCCAGGAGAGAGGGCAATACCCAGGAATATCACTCAGTCTTGAAGAGGAAATCCAGCCACATGCTACAGCATGGATGGATCAGGGCCGTGGTGCTAAGCACTGCAGTCACAAAAGCACGAAGAATGCTTCCTCTCCTAAAAGACACCTGAAGCAGCCAAGCTGTGGGAGACTAGAAGTGAACAGCAGGCACCCAGGCCAGGAGCAAGGAAGGAGTCACCCTCAAAGTTTCATTGTGGCAAGATAGAAAGACCCTTGGGCACAGCAAGATGCACAAAGTCATCCCTCTCAGGCTGTGTAGTCAAGATAACTAAGATGCTCCATACCACGTTGTGCTTTTACCACAAAAATCCTAATAACTCCAATAAAGTATGGGCAATGGTACCTCATTTCAAGACTTCTATAATGCTGTCAAGCCCATTCAGCATTGTGCAGACTGGGGAAGGACACAGGGATTTAAGGGGGTGGGGCCAGGAATGGATTCCTACCACAGCCACATCTGTCCAGCCAAGGCCAGGGCAAGGGGACTGGAAGTTCAGAGGACAGTGACCCTCAACCCACACCTTACACAATCTGCAAGATTAACCCCAAAATGGATCACAGACCCCAAAACAAATGGTGATGCTGGAAAACTGCTCAGAAAGAAATGCTGTCATGACCCTCAGATGGCAGAGGTCTCCTAGAAGGTACAAAATACACTCATCGTACAAGGAAACTGAGCAACTAACCCTTACCAAACCCAAACTCCTGCTCTTCAAGGCACACATCTAAGCAATGAAATGAA